GTAACAGAATGAAACTAATCCCGCTCTGTTTCCAAAATGACCAACGTCAGAAATCCTTTCAGTTGGCTTGATTAAGTACACATTTTGTGATAAGATTATTTACTTACGTGTGTGTTTTGGGGATTCGAGACTTGTTTTGGACTTTTTTCAAGGAATCATCATCATCATCATCAACAGCCTATAACAGTCCACTGCTGGGCATAGGCCCGTCCTTAGAAAGGAGGTTTTGACCTACTACACCACGCTGGCCAGACGGGTTGGTATAGGGTTTGTTTCAAGTTTTCCTTCTCTTTGCCGTGCTGTTGTCCTGCGTAGTTTGCGCCCTTAGTCGGCTCTTACGACACACACGGGATGAATAGGGGTGGTGACATTCCGTATTCTTAATCCGTCACCACACGGACTAGGAAGGAATCAGCGGAGGTCAAATTGAATTTTTTTTCAAGGAAATTTTAATTCCGAGGAATTATTTTGACTAATACCAGCCATAACTTTCCGCCATCGTTCCACACGTCAAAGTTTTCATCCTCATCACCTGGATAACGCGCTCCACTACTGTGCGCTTTTCTTTTGTTTTTTTCACAAAAAACTTCTGAACAATTAGAATAGAGCTGTCTTTTCCAAGTCTTGAGAAGTATTTTAAATACTCGGTTAGTAATTCTTGGTTCTTTTAAAAACCTAAAAATACCTGCCATAGGGTTACCATAAATGATACTCTTTAACACAGAAGTCAACGGTTTACCTATTACATTTTTCCGGAATAAAAGTAGCTTTAGGTTAAAAAATTTGCTATTCCAGACTATAATCCATCTGTGCCGAATTTCAACCAGATCCGTTCAGCCGCATTTATGTGAAAGAGTAACAAATATTCATACAACCTTTTGCTTTTATAATATTAGTAAGATACCCCCATTTAAATATATGTATTTAGCTTTTTAAAAACATTAGTGACAATTCTGATGTTACCAGCACTAACTTTTTCCTACCATAATAGTAATAAAATATAGGGATAAATTGATTAAATAAAACAACCAATATCTTTAATATATAATAACTATTTATGTATGTATATAAACATGACATCAATAAGATAAGAAAAAATATTTAATTTATCTAACTCACAAAATGAACTTAACATAAGACAACCAGACACTACGAATTGTATTAATTAATTATTACATTAAACAAAAAAGTAATAACCTTAATTTTTTTAAACTTTTGCATTGCTGAAATCTATTTTTGTGTTTACACTAAATTCTTATTCCCTAATTAATTCAACGCTGCATAATATACATGTTTGGGTTCGTTTAGTGTTGCCACATGAAAAAATAAAATACTAAAGAATTCATCAGAATAAAATAAAATCTCCCAAATTAAATTTGATTTTATTTACACGTTACTTTTATTCAATAAAAATGTAAATGATTTCAAAAATACTCAGTCGAGATTCAATAGGTACCGAATTTCATTATTTTTTGCACTAAACGAACCCAAATTTGCGCAGAGCTATGGACAGGGCAATGCCCCATACAACTTAATATCTACCTCTCCGAAAAATCTCTAGTAAAATCTAATTTATACAGATTTCCACACACCCCAGGAAAAAATACCTATGCTACATGAAAAATACCAGGATTAAAAAAAACTACAACACATCACTATCTCACGGTATAAAATTTGTCTGCATAAAAATCTCCACCTCTGGCTAGGGCCGTGCAAAATTATCGACATTAGTCAGAAAAAAAATTGGTACCGTGTCTGGTATCTGTCCATATCGATATTTTGTTCACGCCCCAACCCTATTACTAAACACGTGGTTACCGCGACATTTTTGCAAGTCGATATAATTTATTAAACATGAATAAATGCTTGTTCCGAAGTGAGAGGAATTGTATATACCAAATATTTGGTACTAAAAATTCTATCGCGCTTCGGAACTCAAAAAACAGACACGATGTCGCATTTGGGGACCAAACTGTGTCAATTTTTCCGACAGCAAATTGTTTAGAAACAAAAACTAGTAATTTTGAGGATACTAAGGATTTAGTGGATTTAATAATAAAAACAATTATAACACGACATGGAATGCAATAAATAACAGCTTATAAAAATATAACCATCCTTTTGGCTAAGTCGGGTGATAAATTCAAATAAACACCAATCTCTGTCAGATTGGTTTAGTCAGGAGGAAGCCATCTTGTACGATATAACTACGAGTTTGCCCAAACGCGTCACCGGCCGCACCGATAAACTGTGAGATACTTATAAATAAAAATACATTGCTAGGAACATTTAGAGCTTAAAACAAAATAATTCTAAATAATTTAATTTACCTTTTTTATTTTAGTTCAACTTCAGGACATTTTTGGGATTCTTTTAAGTAAAATATCAAGTAAACTATATAATTTCGCCGTTAAATCATGAGATTCAGAGACAGAATTTAGGGAAATGTAGGACAAATACCAATTTACATGCAAGTCTGATACCGGTTTTGACCGCAATGCTACTACAAATCTGGCCACTTAAATCCGGTATCTATCACATCTTTGATTTGCAATGTCTAAAAACTTAACGTTTGATTCTACCACTGATTTATCCGTATGGTAATAAATTGGCAACGAAAATTAATTAGAAGACTTGAAAATTGTGATGTGTTACCAGCAAGACCAGCCGACACTGTTGGTAGAAATCATTAACTTGACAATTATGTTATAAGTAAAAAGGTATCAAAGCTCAGTTTTAGGAGGACCACACATGTATCGCTTTTTAATTATAAATTTACTAAAATAATAGATTAAACAATATTTTTTGGAACGAAGTTCCTTATCGTGCGTTGTGAAAGGGGGCTAGACGGAAAAAAATCTCACGAAAAGTTGTAACGACACTTTTTATGTCAGTCATTCAGCGCCATCTATCGAATAGATAGGAAATCATTACTTTTCATCTCAGTATTTATTTTGAATTGTCACTTGTCAGTCATTCAGCGCCATCTATCGAATAGATAGGAAATCATTTCTCAAGGAGATTTTACCCATGTATAAATTGTTTTAATTAGAAACCAACTGAAAAATATGTAGGTAATAGCCGCTTTCATAGATGGCGTTGTAATTAAAATCGTGTCGAATCAGTTTAACTCGATCGTCACAACTTCGTTCCTATCGGGTGTCCCACGACACCACACGGCTTTTTACTTCTAAATTTTCCGCTTGATATATTTTGTTTATTCGTTAGCACAAAGGTCGAGTGCTAGAAGGGCCTCATTATCCAATGATGATATATATAGAACCATCGAAATAAGTTATAATTTCCACAGTGTTGCTAGACTTGCAGATCCATGAAGCAAGAGGAAAAGAATACTTAAAAATGTCCCTTAATTGAACGTGGAAGTAGTTTATATATTAATACATAAATTAACGCACACAGAATTAAAAATCGGTGCGTATCGTCGTTTTCTTAAATTATATAAAAAATATAGCTTCGGCTGCAGCTGCTCGCGGGGTAGATAGGTAAGTAAGTAAATATTTCTTTTTAGGTGAAACTTAAAATTAAATAGATAAATTTGTGATAGCACTAAGTAAAGGAATAACTAGATCGTTAACTAACACAAAGACAGGTTGTTTGTATGCGAGATAAGAAATTGTCGTGTGATACTAAAATTAGTGCAATATTTAAAAAAAGATCGCAAAAGACTATTCAAACTATATTTATATATGACTTGAATAGTCTTGCGCGATTTTTCATGTAAATTCAACTAACGAAAACGTTAATATTAATAGGTATTAGGAAGACTTATTAGTACATTTAGATTGCAGACCAGCTAGTTATCTACTATGAGTTACCTAGTTACCCCTCAAGCCTATTTACTTATAAATACGCAACCGTTGATCCACAAATAGTCAAAAATTATATTTAAAAATAAAGACATTTATAAAACTAATACATACATAATAATTTCATTCGAAATAATAAAAATCTATATATAACTAAGTAAATAGATAATACATAGTACATCACTAATAACTGACATTAGGAATTAATGTCAATCAGTGACTGTAATATCAGATGAAAACCACTGACATGTCATATGTATCCGTTACAATTTCTGTACAAAAAGGCTCACGTCACCACACTGACATTCAGGATTTTTTACTGACAAATGGAATTCCAGTTACTGACGGCCAATAATCCCAATATTCATTTAGACATTTTTTTTGTTATGTTCTGAGGTCTGTCTTTTTGACAATTTCATTCCAAGTAGTTTGATTATAAAGATACCGATTTTTTTAATGAGGTATTTGCCCAAAAATTCCACCTTCAAAAACTTTACAATATTATCTAGTCTCGATGTCAAAATTAGTCAAAAATAATGAAGTCAATATTTACACGCAACTAGAATTATATCAATTCTATCACATGGATAATAGTTTAAAATTCAATTATTTTACCTTTAGAAGGTAAATTATTCAATTCTGAGAGGTCCTTCAAGAAATAGAATTGTCAAAAATCTAAAACAAAATAACTACGTTGGTCTAGATTAAAAACAAAAATAATAATAAATAGCTGTGCAAAGGAAACGCCGAAGAAAGGGTATTTAAAAAAATACATTTTTTTTCTACCATCAGATCGTTGGAACGCAAACAGGGATACGCGACGTTTTACCGAAATCGCGGAATTTTGAGATCATAAAAATAAATCATTATAACCATTACAGTTTATCATCAATACTTATTTTAGGGACGAAACACTAAGGTTTATAAGAATGGTATCAAATACCACAAGCTGATTAGATATCGATAATTCGGTACCAGAATTTACGACACCCGAAATCGGCAGCACTCAAACCCAACCAATAAAACCAACTTAACAAACCAATGCCGTAAAAAATTAAATCCTGGTATCCAAATACCGGTATCAATAATATTCGGACTTAAGCCCGATTAAAAACGAAGAACCCGATTTCGGTAAATCATCGGCGCGCGTTATTCTTTTCAAATTAAAATGTTTCACTGCATGAAATAATCCGGATGTTCTGGATCCTTCTCAAATCTCTTGGCCTCTTCTTGCATGCTTTCCTTGATTTTCAATATCGCTGCCGATTCCGTTTGGTCGTTTTGGTCACCGCCTGGGCCCCCGAAACCTTCACGAGAAAACTTTATTGTCAAAACTACTAGGACTTCTACATTACACATACGACCCAATGGAAACATCTGCGGGCCTTGCAGATATTGAAAAGAACAATAATTGAAAGATTTCACATTAACCTACTTTCTATATCGCGATAACGCCACGATACATTTACCTATCCTATCTCGGTAAATGGGCTTAGCGATGCGAAGTAGTTAGAAGTATTCTGCACTCTGATTAGCAACCTTACGCTGTATGGTAAACATCGAATGTTATTCGAGACATCTTGGGTTCTATCTCTATTAAAAGATTAGGGGACATTTTATTAGGCGAAACTAATCTCACCCACATACCCAATGGATTTCTATTCAGGTGTATTAAGCATTGATTAAACAGTGACCTACGAAAACATAGAGGACGACGTTCGGTTATTCCCAACGAAAGTCTTGAAAATCAAGTTAGAAATAATATTATAAATCTTCTTTAGATCAACTTGTCATTTATTTTTTAATTTCGTGTGACCGCATTTAGCGTTTAATATTATTTTAGAAGGGCGGAAACATTTATAAGATCGAAATTTTCAATTATCATTTTAATGTTTCAGAAAGATATTGAGAAGAAGAATTAATTTTAAACGCAGTACCGTCGTAAGTGTGTTACAACTCTAGGACCATTAATCAAATCAACGACGTGGAAGGTTAGATTTGACTAGGATAGGAACCTATATCCTTTGACCCAAGGCGAAAGCTTTAATTGCTTGCATGCCGGTGAACTTGCTTGGTTGCTCTTTAATTAGGACCAAAGAACTTGTTATTTCAATCAGTCAATGTGAAAACTATACGTTTACAAAATTCTAAAGCTCCACAATGTTTCCCTTGGGTAGTTAAGCTCAGAACACCATCACCCAATTTCTTCCCATGCAGCATCCACCTGATGTATTTCTATAACTTACTGTAATGACTGAATCGTCTGCAATTGTGTTGGACCTTTCTTTGGGAAAATCTCAGAATTGAAAAGGACCTGTAATTCAAATAATAAGAATAAAATGGATCCCTCCTATTCATAACGATGCAATATGAAAACGATAGATGATAATTTCTGAACCAAAAAATGAACCGATAATTAATATCCTTCAGTGTACTAAGCTTATAACTTTCTGGATATTTTTTTATTTCAACTGCCCAGAAACTCCTGAAATATTTAGTGATTTCATCGGAACACTGCAACTGATTAGTGTTCTGAAGTCAAAACGCAAATACTTGAAGGCTTCCAGAATGGTCAAAAAATTTTCGGTGGATGCTACATCTTTTTGCCACATGTAGAAAAAATGGGATGGTTTTAGCCGATTTAACACGGGCGGAATGACTTATGATTCAATCGACACTGATCGACATGATCACAAAATAAATGTATGTCTGTCAGAGATTCTTCCAGGACACCATATTATCTTGTATACGTGTTTGGTTGTAATTTTGAATTTGGAATAAGTAATATAACTGACATTTAAAGTATGATTTTGGTTGTTCGAAGTTATTTTGGGTCCACTTCAGTGAGCTGAAAGTTTTCAAGGTTAATTATACTAAAAAGTAGATCAAAAAACCTCATTAGTCACCTTAACCCGTGTTGAACCGGCCTGGGTCCTGGCATACCAAATTAAAATAGATACTCACTTAGATTGTAGTCTCCCATGCCTGATCCCGAGTCTTCTCTGGGCGTACCTGGCCCTCCGCCTCCTACGCCTCCAGGCGAAGACTTCATACCGTCGACTCCACCCAAGCCTGAGACAATACCATCATAAGGTAAGAGCCAAGGCAAGATTCTAATGTTATATAGTTTTTAGTTACCTCAACCGCAAATCGTAAGTTTATAAAAATAGGCAGCCACGCGAATTCTGGATAAGGCATTGAGTATACCGGTCTTCGGTAAAATTCTGTCCTAATGGAACTATAATACTCGAGTTTTGAAGGTAGTGTAGTGAGTAATTTAGATACCCCGTTGCCAATGATAATATGTTTCCTGTTCTTGGTTTATATTTACGAAACTCAATTTTTAATTATGTCTTTTACAAAGTCATCGTAAACTATGTTCTTATTCAGTATGGACCAGCTTCTCACATATTTTTTTTTATGAAATAATAGGTAGATATTACAAGAATTTGTCTGGGCGCATAAGTTCAGATTTTTTTTTCAGTTGCGCTCAATTGAACTTCACAGTAGAATGTTACAGATAGAATTACATTATAAAATAGAAATAAAGTATTTTTAATTACCATAAACCTTATTTTCAACGACATAAACCGAAAAAAAACCTAATAAACACTATGGAAGATTCGGCGTTATTCGTAAAAAGATATAAGAAACAAATCATTGCCTATGACATACGATGAAAAATAATAAGCTTTATTTTAACAATATTAGCTGTATACGAGGGAAAGCAAAGAAAGCAAACCTACATTTTGTTTTTTCGAATATATTTCTATTAAACTGACTCAGGTAAGTCATTTTATGAGCATATCGATATTAAAATACAATCCAACTTTTGTAATCAAACTTTTTTGAACCAAATCTACACAAAAAAAAACTTTGTCAGTCTCTTAGTTCAACTGTGGTGAAATTGGTTTTTAAAGGATGAAATTTTCTAACCACATATGTATTAAAAACCATTCTGACGTAATATCTCTTCTATAGGCAATCCATATGTTAAGTAATATCTTTAATACAATCAATTTTCACTTATTTGATCGCATAAAGGAAATAAACTTGCTTCATTCTCATCACAAAATTAACGGTAATATAATTACTTTGTATTAAGATACGTAGGTATGTACAACTCGGGATGAGTCAAAAACCAGTTTTTGGGTACCGGTTTTTTTTTTACAAAACACCTTTTTTACAAAATGAGGCTCATTTGACTGTCTGTTTCTTGATTTGTGCTATATGTTTTAAATAAATCCCTTCTTTTTTTTCGTTCTTTAAAATGAACAGGCTAAAAAAATCTACGATATAATAATATTCCATCACATTCACACAACGCCATCTAGTCCCAAACTAAACAGAGCTTGCACTATGGCTACTAGATAACTGATATGAATACATATATACTTTTTTTTTGTAAATACATACTTATTATACATAGAAACACCCAGACCAAATCAAACATTAAATGTTTCTTAATTGTTGGAATCGAACCTGCAACCTTTGGAATAGCAGTCCGTTACACAAACCACTACGCCATCCGGTCGCCAAATGTATGTATAATACGATGCGTTTGTGAATCAAAGTACCTTTATGTATTTTAAGTTTTTAAATTTGCCGGGTGTGTTGGTCTAGTGGTTAGTGACCTTGACTGCTGAGCCGGAGGTCGTGGGTTCGATTCCCGCCCAGGACAAATACTTGTGTGATGAGCACAATCATTTGTTCTGTGTCTGGGTATCATTAATCTATGATATGTATGTATTTAGAAATATATAAGTACGTTTATCAGAAATCCAGTTTGGGATCAGACTGCTGAATGTGAGATCTGTGAAGTTATTATCTATACTAATATTATAAAGCTGAAGAGTTTGTTTGTTTGTTTGTTTGAACGCGCTAATCTCAGGAACTACTGGTCCGATTTGAAAAATTCTTTTAATGTGAGATAGCCCATTTATCGAGAAAGGCTATAGGCTATATATCATCACGCTAAGACCAATAGGAGCGGAGCACCAATGAAGAATGTTTCAAAAACGGAGAAAATTTATTACTATTGAGAGACGCAAGCAACGGCATGAATAGGAGTGCTGACACACCGTATCCTTAATCCGTGTCCACACAGACTATGGCTGATGGATGCACATAACACCTGGTGCATCCATCTGCTCCAAGACACTTCTACGAGTAGGTTTTTAAAAACCGATGATCGTATATCCATCTGATAAGTCGCTTTTGGTATCACCTTTTAATTTGATCGATGTTGGTTTCTTAATATTTCTGAAGGCCAATTCTCGTAATAACAGTTCGGTTCCGACTTTCAACTTTCGATCTCACAAATGTCATAAAAAATATTTTCGTAGTAAAATAGTGAAGTATTACTAGGACTAGGAGATTACCGATTTAATTTTCAGTGACAATAACATATAATTACATTACAGTTGTGTTTAAGAGTAGACTGCGTAAATTTCTAGTAGATAAAACTTACTATAGTGTAACGGAATTTTTATCGGTTTTTTTTAAATTAAGTGCTATGATTATATATATATTATCTTGATGCCTATTGTGGAGTTTGTATTGTATGTTTACTATTGTGTCATTACTGATTTTTATTACCTAAGGTTCAGACTTAAAATTAATATTATTGCAGATTGAGTCTAAAAGCATGTTTCTTAGCCTAATACAAAAAATGTTTGCACGCTACTGGTAAAATATGGTTGAGCTTCAATGTACTGTAACACCTATCATGTATTACCCATATTTGCAAAATAAAATATTCTATTCTATTCTACAGTTAACGTTGGATGTTTACGAAAATACCTATTATGACATTTGTGAGATCGATAGTAGATTGAAACTGAATTTTGACCGATTTTTCTGAAAGTATTCTTAGGAGAAGGTGTCTCTCCAAAGGAGATATTCTGAGGTTCCTCTTGATATTTTATCTCCATCTAAATTCAACTAATGTCTAACTAAGTGAGCGTTGAATGTTGAATACTTTTATGACAGCTGTGAGATCGAAAGTTGATCGGAACTGAATTGAGACCGAACTGTTGTTACGAGAATTGGCCTTCAGATTATCTATCTGTACGGTAATATGTATTATTTCATTTATTTGCGAAACTCAACACGCAGTGATATAAACAGGCCTAGAATTACAAGATTCTATTGATTTCTTATTACTAATTTGTATAATAGGAACAAGGCCATAAGCAAACTTCGTTAGTGATGGGACATATGCAAATTCCGGTATTAATCGATACCGGATTTAATAAGAAAAATACAGAGCTCTGACACGCCGTCTGGCGTATTTCATAAATAAAAATAAATTCAGGGTATATTTTTACACATATGAAAGCCGGAACGGCACCGCACACCCACCGCAACCATAGACAAAATTTTAAAAGCTTGTTTTTCGCAAAACGCAAGTGTCAGAGCCCCATATAGACACAAGCGCTAATGAAAAAACATTTTTTGTTTTTGTTATGTATCGCGATTTTGCGCACCTTCGGCGGCGGGCGGCTGCGGCAGGTGCTGCGGTGCGGGCCCATGCTCCCCCGCTAGCGGGAACTCTGCCCCTAGGGCTCCCGCGCCGACCGGTTTCATCAGTGTGTACATGTTGTCTCCCCCTGTCGCGCATTAATTACAAATGCGTGACATTTCTTTTATACTTCGCTAATCATAGACAAAATTATGAAAGGGACTAAGAAAGATTTTTTTTTAATGTGGTCCTCTTAGGCAAAAAAAACAATTTTGTCTATGACAGTTTTAAAACTAAACAATTCACTGGTATTTATTTCTAACTGATGTTAGAAGTCAAAAGGTATTTAACTTTTCACTCATAAAAATACTACTTTACTTTTTAATTCTAACACATTTTGGTGAAGCAAAATAATAATAATAATAAAATACTACATCACCACTAGTTGTTTAGGCAGCTTATGACTCCTAATGACAGTTTTTTAGTTTCTCAAATAGAAAAATATATAAACAGAAAATTTCAATTTAAAATAATATGGTTGTCATTTTATTTGAGAGTTATTAACTAAAATGAATATCCTTAAAACAAAAAATACATGTTTTTAAGAGCGAAGATTGATCTATTTTTTTTTTATGAGTGCTGTGTATAATTTGAAGATCAAAAATGTTTAACTTGCCCGTTAAATTTTTCATTGTAAAAGGAAAAATCAAACAGCACAACAATGAAGTTGTTTTTGTTTAATACTATACAATGACAACAGACATAGTGTTGTGTTCTTGCTGATATCTCATTTCTTAGAGGTGGAGATATTCTGGAGGGGGTCATCTATAAGCCGTAGATGGTTAGGTTAGCACTGTCTAGGTATTGGTATCCATTTGTCGTTAGCTAACTAGAAAAAAAAGTTAAATGTACTACATTTTTCAAATAGGGATGCTATAGAGCTCTGTAACCGGTACCGAAATTATCGACTATCCGAAACCGGGACCGGATCTGATTTAAATTTCGAATAATTTCGACAAGGGGCGTAGTCTAATGGATACAAGTTATTAGGAGTTGTATTATTTATTTATCAGGTTAATGTTATTTTCTATTTCTAATACACTCTCTACATTTAAGCAGTGTAATTGTAGAATTTGTAGAAGTTTTCTTACAAATCGTTTATTTTTTTTTAATAAACTGGGACTATCTAAAACTATCGAATAAACCAAAATAATTCTATATCCGTAATCGTGACTAAAACCGGTATATTCTCAAATTCGTATCCATATTAAGGTAAGTATCGGATATTATGAAATAGTTTCATTTCGGCGTTGAAACAATACCGTAACCGGCGCTAGCGCAGCACAGAAACCTGTTTTTAACCACTCCTTGGTGTTGGTAACAAATGTTTTAAAAAGATTTGTGAAAATAGATCATATAATTAAATCGTGTTGTGTAGAAACGATTGAATCCACACAGAAGTCAAACTTATGAACCTTTGGGCTCCTGCAACCTCATTTGTATATCGGTGATATGAAACGAAATAAGTGCTAACACCGGTTTTCTGTGAGGCCATGGTATTACCCCGCTCAAGCCGGTCATGGGTCTTTCTTTTTCTAGAAAGTTAGGATCAATGCTTACATTCTAGCCTTTTTTGTGGATGTTACTGCACAGCACTGCCGAATATTCTTCTAAGTTTTTCTATCTGAGAAACTGAATCTTAAACTAAAGAGTCTATACAGATAAAAACCGATTATATTATATATATTAAAAAGAAGATAAAGAAACATAAAAAGCGTAATACAGAAGTGTAAAGCATGAACGAACCAAGATTATGCGAGAATGAAGCAAGCAAGAACGAAAACAGTTTTTTTGTATATTTAGGAAAGTGGGTAGCTCTAAGATTGGGGCGTCTTTTTATCGTATAAAGAACGCTTAGAAGGATTAAAATGAGCACATATTACGATATAGATAGATTACTTATAGATAAAATAACAATAAAAAAGACCCATCGCTAATTCGAGACTTGGCAAGGCAAGGCCATAGCAGAGTTCAAAATTTTCTTATAGCCAAAACTGGGTACGAATTACTTAGAGTACGCTTTTGACCGCAACATCAACTATTTTTCTCATTTGTTTAAAAAAAATACATAGTAGATTTGTTTTAGACAAAAAACTGGATACGCGGTACTCAATTTTTTTTCAACTGTTTAATGATAAATTCGATAAATTTCATTAACCTATTTTCCTAGCCAAAAACCTGGATACGAGTTACTAATAGTAATTTTTATTGAAATAAGTGTTATTTAACTGAACTTTTATAAATACATGCTCATTTTAGTGTACATTTAAATGGTAGTGTGTAAATTAAATACCTTGAAGAAATGGCGGACACCTGGAAACTTCTAAATTCTGTTTAAAACTATATGTTCTGTTAAAAATACATTTTTTACGCAACAGCTGCGAACGGCGAAAATTGAATGAATTACCCAACAATATGGGTAAAACTTATAGAAACAATATCCGCTTTAGACGGTTAACACTGATAAGCTTGCAGGTACATTTAAGAAAAAAAAAATACCGATCACATGTTAACTTTTTACCCTTAAAAAAATTTCAACACAAAGTACTACCCTTTACCCAACCTGACTACCCAGCCACCTTTTCCTAAACATTGCACTCACCGGAATTGGACGAATCTTGCGGGCTTGGCATTATTGGTGTTGGGGGCCCCGGGGGGCCGTTGGAACCCGGCGGAGCCCCGTATGCACCGGGTGAGCCACCGCTGTAGTTGAGTGGTGCGGAACCACCCCCGCCCCCACCACCGCTGCCCCCCGCCCACGCGCCGCGAGGTCCCATCCCCATGGGTGGCATACCTGTTTCAAACAAGGGTTAAAACGGGTTCCGACATATGGACTAAAAATAATACCCTTTACGATTAAGCTGGATATTAAGCTATTTTTAAAACAATAATTTATCCTCGGTAAATCGAAGTTTTCACAAACAAAAATGGTGACAATTTCTTGTAGTCAGAGTTAAAATTGGCTAAAAAATACTGAAATTTAGACGATTACCAACACTTTGTATTATTTAACGTTTTTCTAACATAATACTTGAAAGATTCAGCACTATTTTCGAAAGATGTAATTTTAAACGTACAAAAATACCTACTGGAGTTAACAGAAATACCGAAGCAGTATTGGCCTTAGCCCTTGCGAGGCCTCGGGCAGTTAGATCATTGCGAGGCCCCGGGCGGGAGATTTAAAGAGGCAAGTATGTAAATAAATGCTTGCCTAGAACCAGTTCGTTCTCCTATGATATTAATCAGATGTAGCCATTGAACTCTTGAAATCTTTTCATTAAATCAGAATAAATCATTATTATGATTACGAGCTTATAAATTGGTGACCTGCATTGCAATTACGTTTCTGTGCTTCAAGACGAGATAGCAAGCAATTAGGATTCCTAGGACCTACAACTGGTGTAGGACTACGAGATGCATGATACTTATCGACGCGAGAACTTTAATTGCGCGATGCAGGATTAGTAGTTACTCCGTAGAACAGTGCGTCTTCGTTAGATGTCACTGAAGTATGGTTATAATTATTATTTTTTTGGCCTGATATGCCTTACTCTATTTAAGTAGAGTATACTTATACAATTTATAGACTATTTTTTATATACTATTTACTATAAGTTTCCAAATCTACTATTAGTTAACAAAAAGCACTGAAACTGACTATTTTTAAAGGCAGTAAAGGATTACCTGGTCCCTGTGGCGGAGGGCCGCGCATGCCTGCTGCGTAGGCGCCCGGGCTCATGGGCCCCATGCCCTGCGGTCGCGGCGGAGTCATGCGCGGCCCGCCCAGCAGGCCGCCCGCGCCTCCTCCGCCGCGCTCTAGGCTGTTGCCCATCATGCCTTGACCTGCACGAACACAGACAAATAAAATGGTGTCTGATGTCTAGTGAGTAGTGGAACTGAGTGCTGCATCAGTGTTTAATTCAAACCCATGACAAATAATTGTATTTTGAACATGATCATACCTATCTATCTAGTTATACATAGGTATGTCAGTCTGGTTAACTGGCACCTTCTGTAAGATTTCAACTGATACAACTTACAATGTTCTTCAGACCTACTGAAATGAGGTTTTAACAACTCCACACAACACTATAAATAGAGTTGTTAAAACCCCCATTGAGATGCAATACTTCTTTGGGTATGATAAAACCCACTTGACAGAGAAAGAGAGAAACTTAGGATAACAAAAGCAAATAGAGTGAGGAAACTATGATAAGAGATACCACACACTTGATGAAGAAATGGGACTGAGTCTGCAGAAGATAGAAAAGGCTGGAGTTTCCTGCAAATAGATCCTTCCTATGATTGAAGAGGAAACCCCTATGGTTTTACAAATTTCTAAGTCTATCCAACAACATACCTGGCGGCCCATTAAAGTCATTTCCCATTCCCATCCTGACTGCTCCACGTGGTCCTCCTCCTGTATACCATGGTCCTATAAACGGTTGTCCGGTTCCCATTAGTTGTGGCTGTGGTCCGTGCGGTGAAGGTTGCGATCCTGGGTGTGGTGCGGGCGGTGACGGTCGGAGTGGAGAGTTAGGGAAGAATCCTGGTGGCATCCCCCCTCCACCCATACCTGAAATGTTAGTTATTTTAGTTATGATATTAAATATGTCTGTTTTTTAGTGATGAAATGTATGTCAGTGATTATGATTGTGATATAGTCTGTCTGGTGTCAAGGTCTGGTCTGGTCTGGTCAGGAACAGTAATGTACAGTAATTGTAAATATGTGTTGCTGAAAAGACCTTGTATTTTTCTATGTAAAAGATAATATCTTGTTTAGAAGTAGATAAGAATTTCAACCTTGTGATGGATTAAGAATAAGGAGTGTCAGCACCCCTATTCGTCCCATAGGTGTTGTAAGAGTCGCCTAAGGAAACAAACTACAAAAGACAATGGTGCTAAACTAAACTAAAAAATTATTTAGTTCTGTCAATGTTTCCTATTCTGTAAACATAATATTTGACAAGACAATTTTTTTTTGGGAAATTTAGTTTAGAGTTTTTGAACAACTGATTTAACACCAATAACACTAAAATGAGAATTTAAACTTGAAACAAACCCTATATCAATCTGTTTGGCCAGCATGGTATAGTAGACCAAACCTCCGTTCTAAGGAGAGGCTTATGTCGAGCAGTAGAATATTAAAGGCTGGTGATGATGATGATGACCATTACTTACTCCAGTTATTACTTCCACTCCTCAATCTATTAGCAATATCAATTTCCTCTCATTCCCTTCTTTTCCTATTTAACATTCGTTGCCCTTGACAGGCCTGTTGGTCTAGTGGTCAGTGACCATAACTAATCTTGAGGTTTGATTTCTACCCAGGATAAATGATTGTGAGATGAGCATGATCATTTGTTCTGTGTCTGACCTATTATATTATTGTATGAATTTAGAAACATATAAGTATGTTTATCAGAAGTTTGGTTACAATGTGTGTGATGTGTGAAAGTATTATTTTATAATATACTCTAAATTTTAGTTTTGTGGCTAAGTGGTGACCGAGTAGTTAGTCCATGGATGGGTGAGCATTGTTAACAAATTGAGACCCCTCCGTACCTAAGAGACCATATTAAGCAGTTGGGAGCCCTAAAAACTCCAACAACAGTCTATCTACAGAACTTTGATATCGCCTAGTACTTGGGTTGTTCACCCGAAGTTCCGAGTGTTGTACCGAAGTTCAGTGGTATGGTAGGTAGAAGACTTAATTCTTCCATCTAATCATTATAGTTCCTGGTTGCCTACCATGCCTGATGTTTTGACTATGTTGTAAGGTCATAGGCTGGCTAAATAAGTTGTTAACTTTGTTATTTAATTATGAAGTTTGTTAAGTTTTTTTTTACTTATTATAAATAATGTTTCTATGTATAATATGTATGTATTTACAAAAACAAAGTATTTATGTTTTTATACCATTTTCTAGTAGTACTAGTACAAGCTCTGCTTAGTCTAGGAATAGATGGCGTTCTGAATGTGGAAAAAATAAAAATATAACCTTAATGTAAACTCTTAAATGCTTGCTATTTAAATACTGTAAAAATCATCATCAACAGCCTTCAATAGTCCACTGCTGGACATTAGCCACTCCTTAGAAAGGAGGTTTAGACACTATACCAGTCACTCCCTTAATTGGCTCTTGCAACACCCGTGGGATGAATAGGGGTGGTGTGGTGACACTGCGTATTCTTAATCCGTCATCACAGGAACAGTAATGTACAGTAATTGTAAATATGTGTTGCTGAAAAGACCTTGTATTTTTCTATGTAAAAGATAATATCTTGTTTAGAAGTAGATAAGAATTTCAACCTTGTAATTTAGAATGGAAGAATTATTTTAACTCGTCACTAAAAAAGACCAAATTTTTTGTCATAAATATAGTTCGAGAGGCAGATCCAGCTTTTAACTCAGAGGGGGCAGTCGTTTTTGTATAATCAGGATTCACAACAAGGTCTGATTTGATTATCTACTTGAAATAATAAAAATTATACCCGTCTTGGGGGATAGCGGCAGCCATGACCCAATAGATCTGTCCTTGATTATGACAACAATATTAAAGTAAGTTCTATGAAGATTACTTAAAAATAACTAACTAAAGATTTGTTTTGTCTTGTCTATGCTTATTTTAATATATTTTTTTTCATTATTACCCTTTATTGCCAACTTATATTGATGCATCAATAGTACTTAAATAATTATGTTACTTATAAAATTGACAGCATATTAATATGATACAAAGGCCTTCCAAACTTTGCCCAGTATTCTCTTATTTTATCATTCTATGGCAGTGTGTGTGAAGTTATTATTATACTATTACACAATGCCAAAATGTAACATAAACCATACATTTATTTACTATCTACATGTATTTGTTACATCAAAATCAATATTTACACAACTTTAGTGACAATTGTGAACAGTTTGAACTTTCTACAATTAAAATTAACCATTTTTAGGTCAATAGGTTATAAGAAAGTTTCTATATTACTCTAACAGACTGACCTCTTTCATGTTTAGAGAAAAAAGTTAAAAAAAAAAAAACAATAAAAGTTTAGAATGCCATAGAGCTGATATCTTAGTTGTCAGTCGCACTCATTTGTTTTTATAGTAAATGAGACAGAGACAAACATATGCAAAAACACCATGCAACAATTTTGGGTAACACATTCAATTTTTGTAATTATTTTACTCAAATTGCTTTTTAGTACCTAAATTTACTGTATTAAGTACTTATAATGCAATATCGCGGTACACAAGACACCCGAAACCAAAAATCTTAATTCTATTTACATAGAAAGATAAGAAATTGTGTTGGCCTACAAACATATTGTAAATTGAAAATTTTATGTTTTCCGAGTAACTATTCTTGTATTTAGGACACTTACCGTCGTTAGGCGGCGCCGGGCCGGCGTTGTGGCCGATTCCATTGACTCCGTATCCAGAATTGACAAATCCATAATCATGAAATGCTTTCGCTTCCGAAGAGTGTTCACACGTATCTCGTCTCTCTGGTGCAGCACAGTAAAGGTCCCAGAACACGCACCACCACGAGTGTAGGAACCCTGGTGGTTCGCCGAGTGTTATATTCTTCTCCCATCGTATTTCAGACAGGAATGTTTGCGCGGCTTTGGTCGCACCGACGTGTAGCAGGTACTCATACACATAGAGTGCCAATTTTTCGCGAGCCTGAGCGTCCGAAGGCACTGTAGAGCCCTTGCCCTTGGCATACATATCGACTGGAAGCCGACTTTTATGATGATATTGTTTATTATTTACATTAACGCTTTATATCAATAAATTCAACTACACAAAATGTCATTGATCGATGGCGACATTTGGCGTCTGTGGCATAGAGAAATTGGTTTGTTCTCGGCGTGCAAGGAGCTGTCATAAAATTTTGTTTATAGGTTAGCACAGATACTAAAAAGGGGCCCTTAGTCAAAAATTAAATGGGTCTGTTCTTTTAAAACGAAATTCAAAATCGAAATACTAAGTAAATGAATCGTAATCTGATGATATTTTGTGAAACTACTATAAAATTTTATAAATAAAATAATTAAAAGTTTGGAAAGCAAGAAACATGACTAGTCATCAAGAAAAATTCTAATCTTAAAATTAAATAAAAAAATAAAAATTTCTAATCAATTTATTTTACCAGTAATAATACTAGTAACTTATAAAATTAAATTTACAAAAATACCCAGTTTACAGGATACTGTCTGTATACCTCTATGTCGTAAGAGCCGACTAAGGGAGCAAACTTCGCAGGACACCAACACTTTAAAGAGAAGGAAAACTTGACACAAACCCTATACCAACCCGTTTTCACCTGGGATTAGTACTATCCTATGTCCTTTCCCGGGACTCAAACTATCTCTATACTAAATTTAATCTAAATCAGTTCCGCTTTTTAAGCGTCAAGAGGTAACATAAAGACACTTTCGTCTGGTCAACGTGATATAGTACGCCAAAATCTCCTTTCTAAGGAAATGATTATGTCCAGCGGTAGACTATTAAAACTTTTGATGTGATATGAAGGACATTTTAAATACAATACTTAACGTTAAATGTGTGGATGAATGAAGTGATGATAGATTTTGTATACCATCGACAATAGTTTTCTTTTTAATGCTTAAATTTTTTGACACTGATTCCTAAACGAAAACAGACTATAACTCTAGGAATATTTTAATTTGTCTATTTCTCTTTCCTTTTCGTGCGGCCGTGTCACCGCGTGGTTCACAGTCGCGTTTCTATAAGAAACATACAAAATGGCAATCAGACCTGTATACAGACCCACTATCGTCAAAAAGAGGACGAAAAGATTTATCCGCCATCAATCTGATCGCTATGACAAACTCAAGCGTAACTGGCGTAAACCTAGAGGTAAGCAAAGCGTGTTCAGCGACTGCACTCTAAGAGTGTGAAAATAACCCTAACTTATTAGGGTATTTAAGATATTTATTGTTAAATTGCATATGTTTAAGGAATTAAATACATTATTATTCCATTTTTAATAAGTACATTTGGTGTTATAATTTTATTGATTAGGTTATGACATGATGAAAATGAGGCTTTGTCAACGAAATCTGCGGCTACCACCACGTTTATTTATCAAATGTAGTTTTACAGAATAAGAATAAAAGTTGAAAATTTAAATATATAAATGTAGGTTATGATTTGTTTATTTTTAATATCAGAAGTTAACAGGTGTTTTAGCTGTCCTGTTCTGTATTCAAACTATGTGCCTCTACGCTTAAAATTACGCAAGGGCACTCTGTGTTATACATTCTATATGATAATTACAATTTGTTACCTTGCTAGAGCAATTCTATCAACACCTATTCCAAGCTGATGTTAATCACTGTTTGGTCATAGTGATAGATACATTTAAAAATATCTCTTTCCATGTTATAACTTGATTATGTAGTAGGTAAATCTACTTTTTAATACTAGTAAGACATAGATATTTAAATTTAAAAAAAGTGATTCATATTTTTTTTTAACTGAGCAACAGTCATAATTTTTTCAAAATTAGAAGAAGAATATTCAAAGACAATCATGTTTTTTTTGCTAATCAATATCACAGGTTTTAACTGTCCTATTTAGTATTATAACCTTGAAAGTTTGTGAGGATGGAGGTATGGATGTTTGTTTTGCAATCATGCCAGAACTGCTAAACTGATCCGAATGAAATCTAGCACAGAGATAGATCATAGTGTAGAATAGGCTACTTTTTATCATCAAAATTGATATGTAAGCAAAGCCTCCGCTAAAAGCTACTCTAAACTAAAATTTCATAACTTTCCAGGTATTGACAACAGAGTGCGCAGGCGTTTCAAGGGTCAATATTTGATGCCCAGCATTGGTTATGGTTCAAATAAGAAGACACGTCACATGCTACCTAATGGCTTCCGTAAGGTTGGTGTTGACTTCTGTACCATTTAAACTCTTATAAGAATATGGAGGAGTGTATAACAGATCTCTGTTCTGTGAATATTCTGACAGCTGGTAGAGTGTGTTTGATTCCCATCCCAAATGCCAATTCTTGTAATAAAAGATCAGTCACAACTTAGTTCCGATCAACTTTCAATCTCAAAGCTGTCAAATAGTAAAGTATTACTAAGACTAACAGATTACCGATTCAATTTTTGCTTACAATACAATGTAAGTCACTGTTGGATGTCTATACATACTTTACTACAAAAATACCTTTGTTGACACTTGTGTGATCAAAAGTTGATTTTTACTGAATTGTGGCCGAACTTGTATTACAAGAATGGCGTTCAGAGCAAATAATTTGTGTGATGAGTACCATCATGTTGTATCTGTATAATATGTGTATGTATTTAAAGATTTTCGAGACTGCTTAGTTTGGGATCAGATGGCTTTGTGAATAACATGTCAAATTATTCATAGGTATATTATTTAAAAAATAAATAATATAAAAGGAAAAAGAAAAATCAAAACATTATTTGACAATTTAACACAAGACCAGTGTTATAAATAACTTGAACATTCTGTTATACCTTAAAACTAGTAATTATTATTTTAATACTTTGTTCTCAGTGAGCTTGTTAAAGTGTTAAAATTGCTAAACTAGCCCATAGTATACAAATTCACAGACATTGTTAAATAATATTTAGCTGCATAATACGAAATAATAATGTCAACCATCCAGTAACGTAATTGAAAACAGACTGTAAGTTAAGTTAAAATCAGTGCTTGAGATTAGTTTCAACTGAGGAAAACTTAAAACACGTTCTATGATAAGATCGACGCTTAAGTTTTGGAATTTTAAACCTAAAACTAATTTCAGATAATCAAAATTCTTGGGCTGCAGTTTGCCCAGCATAATCATCTCGCCTTTTCTGAGGATCCCACTTTTATTGGAGGGGGGAATAGCTGTTCCTCCATAGAATGATTTCAACATGGTCATCAACCCTAACGCTACTACTGCCATATTGTGTAACTCATAGGTAGTACCTAGGTATTAAGAATTGAATTGTAATAGTCAATAGCTACAGCATTGTTTCTTAAAATGGTTGTTAAGGATAAGAACCTAGTCAAAAAGTCTTTGCCTCAGATTTTTTTTAGACATCTAACACAACGCCATCTAGTTTCAAACTAAGCAGAGCTTGTACTATGAAAGCGAGATTGACTGATGGAATACTTATAATTAAAAAGAAATACGCAAGGGCACTCTGTGTTATACATTCTTTGTGATAATTACAATTTGTTACCTTGCTAGAGGATTTCTATCAACACCTATTCCAAGCTGATGTTAATCGCTGTTTGGTCATAGTGATAGATACATTTGTTTATGGAACTGACGTGTATGAACTTTTTCGCTCCCTAGACTTTCATTGAGATTCACTTTAATGAGGAATAAGGAAGAATTTCATATCCAAAATATTTGTATACAGGTACTCGTACACAACGTCCGTGAACTCGAGATCCTGATGATGCAGAACAGGAAGTACTGTGCAGAAATCGCCCACGGTGTCTCCTCAAAGAAACGCAAGGTGATCGTTGAGCGCGCGCAACAGCTCAGCATCAGGGTTACCAACGCAGCTGCCCGCCTCCGCAGCCAGGAGAACGAATAAACTTAAGTTTAATTAAAAAGTTATAAAAACATAAATAGTTTTTATTTACATATTCTTACTGCATTATATTTTTTCATAGTAATATAATTTATTGATACAACATATTACAGGCCGGCTCGACGTAGCTCGAGTAATAAACACAGCCTCACAGAAAATCGTTGTAAGTCACTGAGTGTTGTTACCGGAGGACCATTCCTTCCCCTTCCCCCTAATCCTGTAGGGGGTGGCCCATCAGGTGAACTGTCTGCTCGCTTGCCCCCTATGCCAAAAAAAAAATGATATGTTAGTATACTAAGCTCATGGTAGGTATATATTCAATGTAAAGGTATGGGCAACTTCCAATATTGGTGTCAAGTAGGTATGTAACGCTCACCCCGAGCTACTATCATAGAGAGAACACGGGGTATAGCTGCCTTAAGTGGAAGCGATACAGGCAACGAGAGAGATGGATGAAGGTAGTTTCCTCTATATCTGTTTAGCTAGGCTACGATTGGCTAAATATTAACCCCTCATATTCCCCAGCCTGAGAAGTAACTATAACAAAAAGTTGAACTAGCCAAAACAATCCTAAAAAAGAAAAACTACACAAAATATTTAGCGAAGAAACAATAGCCTTAATTAACAAACGCAGTGAGCTTACTATAAGAAAGAATAAAGATGCTAATACAAAGAAAGAACTAAGCAAATTATACAAAGAAACTAGCAAAGCGATCAAACGAGACTATAGTAAGCACAGGCAAAGAATAATAACAGAAAATCTAAACAATTTGAGAGGCACAAAGAAAGCATTTAAAGAACTAAACTTAAGAAAAACTTGGATACAAAAACTAGAAGGCCAACATAAATAAACTAAAACCAGACAAGAAATCATACAGCAGGCAACTACTTTCTACCAAGAACTATACAAAAACAAAGATAAAACATCGAGGAAGCCCAAGAATCACACTATTGTTATAACACGGAAACATTTAGACCGATAGAAGAAAAAGATATATCCGCCCAGTTGAAACAACTAAAATCAGATAAAAGTCCTGGTCCCGATGGAATAACCAATGAAGTTTTGAAAATAGGTGCACCAGTTTTACTTAAACCTCTCACAGAATTATTCAACTGCATACTAGAAGCTGAAATCGTACCTATCCAATGGTGCACGTCAGACATCATACTACTATATAAAAAAGGAAACCCTCTCGACATCAACAACTATAGATCAATTAGTTTACTGGCAAACATATACAAAATCTTCTCATCTATAATTCTTAAACGCATAACACAAGAGATTGAAAACGCACAACAATAAACTCTGCAATCTATACCTTTTTTGTTTCTGTGCGGAAATCCCCTCGGATACCACCCACCGGTGGCTATGTCGGTCTCGAACCGACTAAAAACCGTACGTCGTCACGGGTACCAGTAGCCGGGGAACCAGGTGTACCCTAGAAAGGAAATCCCTGGTACCCCGACGTACCTCGGGCCATCTACGGCGGTTAGATGAACCCCTCCTTTGTGGGAACCCCCATGTTTCCGTTTTGCTCCCGAAAGGGAACACGCGCTCCGCAGCGCGTCTCGCTTCTGCTAGGGTGACAGATGGCCTTACCTGTTACCTCCAGGCCTACGCTTATGGAGGACGGAGATCATTCTGCGACCTCCGGCGCCTGCAGTACCTAGCCCGTGTCCGAGCCTGGCGGGCCTGGAGAATCCCCGAAGCATCCATTTCCATTGACCATCTGCGTCATCCGGCATGAAAGGGTCCTGTGAACAAGCACGTGCCAACATGTAAATAAACGCTTGCGGCAAGTTTCCTTTGATGTGTTCAAATACCGACACTAGTCGCGATCGACTAAAAGCTAAACACCCGTGTGTTTGGCTGGGGAATATAAATAATAAATAAAAAAGCCTGTATTTCTTTTTTTTTTTTTTTTACGTGTGGAAATCCCCTCGGACCGTCACCCCACCGGGGTTTGCGGCGGGGTGGTGTGTCGGACTCGAACCGACTAAAACCACACGGTGTGCCACTCTGCGCCTGTAATAGGAGGGATCCGGGAACAGCTGTTATTAAGACATCCGGACCCCTCCTAGCGCCGGCCCGCTCCTGTTGCGGGCTCCGTCTCAAAATTTTTTCCTCTCTTTAGGCGACGTCCGGCACACGCGGACGCCGCCCCCTCGCGGCTGGCCAAACTAATGCGGGTGGAGGGGAAACCCACCCGGTCCACCCGCGGCCACACTCAGAGCGGCATGAGGCGCAGGTGAGCGCGCCTCCGCCGCCCGGTTCGCCGGCGGCGGATCGGGTCCGAGTGGAGGTCGTCCTCCCGGGCCTTCTCCGCCGCCTCCTTCTGCGAGATTACTTCCTCGCATAAGGTTGCGACCGCGGTAAAACAACTGTCGCTACCGGCCATGGAGCGTACTACGGCCGGTAACGAGAGATCCACTCCAATGACTGTAGTGAGGGCCCGGCGCTGCGTCGCCCATGCGGGGCAGACCGCCAGCGTGTGCTGGGCCGAGTCCTCACTGCAGTCGCAGTGGTGGCAGGCGGGACTCAGTTCCCTCCTAGCGACCGAGTGCAGGTACTTTCCGAAGCAACCGTGCCCGGAAAGCACCTGCGTCAGCCGGAAAGTAAGGGTCCCGTGCTGCCGCCCTGCCCACTCGGCGATGACCGGCTGGAGAGCCTCCACGGCGGCGAAGCCAGCGCGTGGAGTCTCCAGCCGGAACGACCAACGAGCCATCGTGGCTCGGCGAGCGGCTTCGCGCCACTCGCGCAACTTGTTTACCAACCCCTAGGTAGGCTACCTAGAAATGCTTATAGCTTTTGAACCAGTGACCGACATGTTTTGATATTTGGCGACTGATTTCGATTCAACCCGCCATCATGGTATTAATTATTGCTAGCGGGAACAGGTCAAGTCCTATACGATCGATAAGGACCTTCAGTTCAGACACCCCTGCAGGGCAGTCTTACAGCATATGCTGGGCGAAGACCCAGAACGTGCGTGTACGATTCGAATGGCCGCTGCGCGATGCGCTTGTTTGAGCTTAGCTCGAGACCGGGAGGAGGTCGATAGGCGATTGGCCTATATCAGCGCATTGTCTAAATCGGCGCTCCGTAGAGGGCCATGGATTATATTACCACACAGTAGATGCGGTAAACTTTACCGCGGTTTTTTTCACTGCCTACCCCAAATGGTACTATGAAGCATGAGTATATGTAAGTATAGGTACACGACATGACGTTTTCAAAGATTGCGTGCTAACACAACCAGGTGGGCTGTCCCACGTTAAATCAATTGTTAAATCACGACGAGTTACGGAAAGCAATTATTGTAAATAATAAATGTTGTGTACATGCGTAGACAAAGGGGCTTGTGCTAAAAGTATAAAATTATTTATTGCGAAAAAGCAAAATTGATTTTAAAATGTTTGAAGAGTGAAATAACAGTTTAAAGATAAACTTTATTTGTACACCAGTGTTTTACAGGAATTATTATTTTATTATTATTCGGAGTGAATTGGCAGAACAGTCACAACGCTAGTACCCGACTGAGTATTTATATATATTTTTAAATTTAAGTAGGTTTATGTATGTGTGTGTGTTTATATATTGTGTATGTCTCTGGACCTAAATTATGTTAAATTTAATATTTTATTTCGCACCTACCGCATCTTATTTCTACATCACCTGAAGGTTGACTGGGAGAGAATGCCTACTGACATTAAGTCCGCCTTTGTACAACATGTGCATAAAGTTTAAAATAAATAAATAATTATTATCGTTATAATGTATAGCGGGCAACCAAGCACACAGGTCACCTGATTTTAAGCGATTACCGCCGCCCATGGACACTAGTACGCTCCTTGATTGCACTCCTTGCCAGGATTAAGGGGGGCGGGCTAATGGGTTTGGGCTCCGGTAACCTCAATCACTCAGTAAAAAGCAATGAAAGTATTAATAATAATAATATAAATAATAGCACACACAGTATATTACAGGTAAGCTAAATTGAGCAGAGCTATTAAAACAAGGGCTTTTTGTCGCGGGTAATATTCAGTACTTGTACAATGGTATTATACACGGTGATTTTATAGGCGTTTTGGAAACGAAACATTTTAATTTGGAATCATCTATAGTACCAATAAAAATGATTAAATCAATTGTAATGTTGTCTAAAAAAAAGTTTCAGTTTTAATATTCATTTTTACTCGATCGACTTGGAAAGTAGTAATGGACTGATCAATTATTCATTATCTTATATAAATGAAACACGTCCGTGGGCGTTTCGGCGGCCGCTGCGCACCGCTGACGCTAACAGCAGCTGTTAAAAGTATACCTATAGGCGCGAGCTAGCGAGTACTTACGTAGATAGACTCCAATTTGTCCTTGATACTTTACACGGGCTTAGGACCGTCGGAAATACCTATTTTATTTAAACTTCTTTTCGATTATTAACCACGATTGTTCTTTTCACAACAAATCAATTTATCAACGGACTGTAGGTATAAATATTACAGGCGTATTTAAAAAATCGGAGCTATCTACCATTGAGTTAAAACAACACTAGAGAAGCAAACCTCATTATCACACGTCGAAAAAAGTGTAACCACTTTTGAACTTTGACGACGTAGCTTTGATACCACTAAACATTTGAAAGTAAACATATTTATGTCTCATTTACACGCGAGACAAGAACAAAACCATCGCTCGGATTAGACAAAGACAAAGATATAACTTTACGATGGTGGGCCAGTGTTGACTACCGTATGAAATTTTACCCATAACAACTAAGAAACAATTTTTTTTTTAAACAATTTTGTAATAAAATAAATTAATTTAAATATTCTAAATAATATATTTCCAATTGAATAGAATAGGTATAAATAATAAAATAACTGGAAATATTTGGTTAAAAGGGTTTATATTCAGTGTAAAATCAAACTGAGCTGTGAAGCATCAGTTTTGTATACAATTGTCTTTTAGACTCTTTTTTATAAGTTTGTGTGGATATTTTACTTTCATGACACAATCTTATTTTTACGTATGTAAAAATAATAGCATTTAATAATAAAAGTGAATGATCAACTTGTACTGATAATAAATAATTCCCAGGGTGTATTGCAAATTCTATAATAATTTAAAAAACAAATAAAATTTTTTTTTTATTTATATTTTATAAAAAAAAATATTTATGTTTATTTACTTTTTTATTTTATATTTATATTTTTTATTTTTATGATAAACATTTTTTATTATTATTATTATTATTTTGTACAATTATTATTTAAAATTGATAATAAATTAAGAAAAACAATGAATTAATTCTTTTGTACAAAAGTCTCCAGCACTGCGAGCTTGGCAGAAGTGCCAAGCTCGCAGTGCGTTCAACGGCTGCGAACGTTCAACGGGACCCTAAAAAAAGTGATCGGTCCAGCCCTAACAACTACCGTTCTTTCTATATTTTATTATTATTGGCAAAATGTTTAAAAACAGTATAAAGCATATTATTTCATAAATTATAAATTCTCCCACTAATGTGGGAAAACCAAAATGATTTTTTAATGGTAACACTGATTCTAAATTACAATTATCAGTGTTTTATTTTAATTATAGCCTTATTTACGATATTATCAATACAAAAACCATAAAATTATACGTGAAAAGTAATTCCGCATGATTTATTAATGTTTTGTGACCTTGAATCGCATTCTTTCACTAGGCATTTAGCCATTTTGGCGATTGTTACTGTCATGTGTCGCTATGTTCAACTCGGTTGACGACACATTGAATACTGAATTGACGTTTGCTACGCATATGCCTGTGGACAGATGTGCAGTAGCAACGATTTTAGGCGGTAATTACTCATCTATGTAAGTATTATATCAATGCTATCTACAGAATAATTAACATACATACCTATTTACACTATTTACACTTCTCTGTATCGAAGCAACTGCTCAAAATGGAGTCCGCTGCATTCAATACACAAACGTCCACGTTTAATGCAATTGTTTTTTAATTTTCTTAATGTGTCTCTATCACTTTTCACTTTATCAAAAGCGTCCACTATCGCAATGCGTAAATTATCACGGCTTTCATATTCCCGTGTATAAACAAAACTTTTTATTTCCGACCATAAGAAAAAATCCAGGGGCGTTAAGTCCGGGCTTCTAGGTGGCCAAGGCACTGGCCTTCCTCGACCTATCCACCGATCACTAAACTCATTGTCCAGGTATGCACGCACTACACTCCGGCGAATAATAATTTAAACGTCCTTGACCTTGCGCGTGAGTAGACGCATGAAATTGTTCGTGGTCGAGAAGACGTTGGGTTGCAGCTAAGATGGTAGGTGTGGGGGGAATTTGAGGGCTTTCAATTTCCAATAAATGCTCCGGCTGGGAATACAAACGCCGTGCCTTTTCCAAGTTGTAGTTGTCAGTAGCGTACAGCTGTACCATTGCCAAGAAGTATTCCACGTTTGAAAATTAGTACTGTCGACTCATTTTAGCGCTAATCAATGTAGCGTGCCGTCACGATGTTATGGTATTACTGAATGAATGAAATACGATTTTATGTGACTCGATATTAAAACGCATAGTAAGTATTTCTATTCGTAGTATTTACCTACGTGTGATTGAATGCCCTACTACTGGTTCTCACTTTTTCTCTGTAAACGATATGAATATCGACTTTGATGATAAAAAATATATATATTTTATTAAATTAACGTTATATGTAGCTTCTGTTACTGATAAATAATTCAAAATTTTCTTTTCCAAAGCGCTTTCAAAATCACCGTGTATACATACAAAATGTAGATACGCAAAAACGCACAAAACGTGAGGTTTCTAATTAAGATCACAGAAAGCACGCGCATGTACTAATTAATTCGAATTAAAAAAATAGCTGTCTCTTATGCTTTCCCTATTTTCTGTTGCAAGTGCACTATGAATATAATATAATATATCTCACACATCTCACACACGGCCGTCTGATCCCAAACTAGGCAGAGCCTGTACTATGGTAACCAGACCGCTGATAAACATACTTATATATTTTTTAAATACATACATATTACAGATAAATTAAACCCAGACACAGAACAAATGACCGTGCTCATCACACAATATTCGTCCTGGATGGGAATCGAACCCACGACCTCCGGCTTAGCAGTCAGGGTCACTAACCACTAGACCAACAGGCCCGTCTAATATATCATCTTCCTACCTACTTTAAACCACTTTGTCCATACCTACTTTAAATCAGTGAAATAATTACCTAAGCGTTGTTGTCTATGAAAACTTTTTACCTTAACGGTTTTGTAAGCGACTGTCCTCTTAACAGAATGCATGCTAACAATATGTTTTCCTTTGTCTAAGTTGCTGTTTAACTTAACTTTGAAGATTATACCATAATAATATACCATTACAACATTGATGTCAGCTTTCTGTTTAAAATATTTAAGTAGGTACAAAGTTAGTCTAGTTAAAAATAAGCAAGCGTTTGAGGTTAAGTTCAATCCGAAAAGAACAAGTCACACGCAACATTAAAGCAACAAAATAAAAAAAAACACGTAATTTGAAATAAATATTAGAATATTTCGCGCCATTTTGAACTTCAATTTTTTTTTAACAGACGCAGAACAAATCGACCATAGATAAGTAAATAAAATGACTGTATTCCAGTGATGATTGAAAAATTAAGAATTATATTTTATGTTATTTTAACGTTACTGATACCGTATTTACTGCAAGAATATATTTCAGCCATTTTAATAAATAAAATAAGAAAGTGCAACTGTGGAAATTGTTAATTCTATAATGTCAGCGTGTTACATTTTCTTATTAATTTTGTTAATTAATTTGGGGTGCGTTATTTCCGAGTTGAGTTTGCGGTTTGGTAAGTAAATTTCCTACTGTTATAAATATGATTTATTTGTTTAGTTATTATACCTATATTTCTTTTTTAATTCAACAAGAGAGCCAATAGCTGGCCTCATTGTCGGCAGAAGCGCCATCTATTAGTTGACTGGGACGACACAGCGATTTCTGAATCGCGTTTTGGTTTTGTCAATATTCATTTAGAGCTTCATGTGTTTCTGCGAAAAGGCTCTCGTTAGTTAAACAAGGTCTCCGTTAAAGCAATGGACATTATAACGGTATTACTTATCAACTTCATAACTGTTCGGACAGATAATGGCTGCAGTTTTCCGCCATTGTCCAATGCAATAAGTTTCAAACACTTAGAGAACTGTCACTCCACAATTATGCCGTATTTTCGACTTATACGATCTCAATACGATCGAATATCAAAATTCAAAGATGCGCAAAAGAGAAACGAACCTGAACATGACGTGAGAAGTCAAGAGAACAACTATTTATAACTTTTTAACTCCTTTTAGTGTTCATAATAGAGACACATGAAGAGGATTTAACGCAAAACATTGCCAATGCTCTGAAGTTAGCAGAGCAAGCAAGCCCTGATTTGAAACTGGATGATGCTATTGTTACTTTGGATAGGGAGAGAGAAGAAGAAAGTTATAGAAAGCGTAAGTCGATTAAGGAAGAATTATTCAATTAGTTAATTGTTGACTTACTTCGTAGCTTGATCAATACAATCTCCTAATAGCTTTGACGACTCAGATAAAACGACAGTCTGATCCCAAACTAGGTAGAATCTGATAAACATACATATTACCAAATATGGAACAATAAGACCTTTGTGATGGCTGTAGTGCAATTGACGCAAGTTCGGTTTCCATCTGCCACTGCCATTTCAGCAAGCTGAAGTGGCAGTGGGCTGGTCATATTAGCTTCAGAACCGTCAACCGTTGGAGAAAACGAGTTCTTGCGTGGAGACCGCGTCTCGGCAATCGTAGTGTAGGAAGCCCACAGGCCAGGTGGAGTGACCATTTGCGCAAGATGGCTGGCAGGAGCTAGATGCGAGAAGCCCAAAATCGATCTAAGTGGCTTGCAATGGGAGAGGCCTATGTCCAGCAGTGAACTTTGATAGGCTGATGATGATGATGTATTGACAAAAATTTTGGATTCAGATAGCATTATGTAATATAATATGTCTTAAAATTGGTAAGGGCGGTAATTTATGCAGTGAATGATAATGATGATGATGGCATAATTTGTTATTTGCTGGATTTCGCTTGACGTGCTCATCACACTTACATTATGAGCAATCTCTTTATCACTTTTTATAGTTTGTTCAGCAGTCTCCAGAGGAGTATCTATGATCATTGATTTATCTTGGTCTCCGTGGGAGATGGCTGAGGAGCTGTCATCTGCCACACAAGTTCCTCTTATCAGGACACTGCTGGGATCTCAGCAGCTTGTAAAAGCTATTGATGATCATCTGGAGTCGAGGAATGTAACTGATGCTGCGATTATATTGGAGAGTGAAGGTGGTAAGTTCATAGTATTAATGGAATAAAACTGAAAACATATTCAAACAATGGTAATCAAATTACTTACTCTGGTTCCTTGCGTCTGCTTTTGAAAGGTGTATTTTAGATTTCCATTTGATCATTCGAGTGGATGGGGTGGGTTTATTTTCCATTCGCTATATGGCCTGCCGAGACGAAGCCAAGGGCATCTGGACGTTTCCTAATTGAAAAGTTGTACACGACGGTGGTAACTGCGTGTACGCGCTAGGAGGTGTCCGAATGTCTAATAAAAGCTGTTTCGGATCTATAACGTTTTAGCTCAGTATGGCACACCATATACAGTTGGTTCATCATCGACACTGCCTGAAAACCGTGGTGGAGTGACAACCCGTGGGAGTTTCCACACGCAAAATAGCACTATGCTTAACTTGGGGTATGCAGTTACTTGGTTATAAATTTTCTGACACTTCTTGATTAGTCTTTAATGTTTCTTCTAGGTTCATATAATATTAATTATGTCTAAACGATAAATAAATTGTACACTCATTCTAAACTAGGTACACTATCACACCACTTTTTAACATTCTGAATACTGTCACGATACTTCGCGAAAGTTCGATTAACCGCGCAATTCCGGGAACCTTTTAATAATAATGCAGGTTGGCACGGAACAATAAGTTCTATTATATTAATACCGAAAATAGATTGCCGCACAATTTTCACGTTTACATTTGAAGCGAATTTGTGTTCTTTGGAAGCGCACGGTTCTCATAGGGATTGGGAATTGCTGGAATGTTCCTTTACGAGTATTATAAATGCGGACACGTCTTCGTTAGTGTCAGTTCAGCTCGAGCTACAGTGTGATAAACATCGAAGCAATTAAAAAAAATATAAGTGTAACCCAGCGACCTCGGCGATCATTACGGACTATTATTGTGTGAACGTCTTAAAGTGTAGTAATAATAAAGTCTCTTTAGTCGTCAGAGGGCTTATTATTTCGAATCAACGAACCCTAACACGTAACAATACTTTACAGATGTAGACAGAACTTTGTACGAACTCCTGGGAGTGTCACATGTGCGTGTATGGGTTCACGCCGGTCTCACCAGAGACTCGGCTCGGGCGCTTAAGTCCATGAGACCTGAACCCAGCTTCTACATCATCGTTGGCCAAAACGGGTTCTTAACTGATACGTATAAACGTGTAAGTAATAATGTGGACACTTACATTCCTATTCTGTTCGATTCTTATAGATTGCCGATGTAAAGCCTAGAGGAGCATTCTTTTTTCTTCTTCTCTTCTTTTTTTGGCAGACGATCAGATAGATCACCTGATGGAAAGTGACTACGTCGCGCATGATCGTTTGCATGAAGTCACACACCCGTTACCGTCTATTGGGAAGGAGTACGCTATTTTCTTGAAGGTTGTATCGGTCCGGAAATACCGCAGACGATAACTTGCTTCACAGATGGCTTGTGCGAGGCAAAAGGTGTCTTCCAAATACGTACAACGAAAAATATAATTCAATACCATCTAACGAAGAACTACGGAGTAAATATTCTGATTCTGATTTGCGCAATAAAAGTTTTCAAACCGATTGGTATAAATACAACATCCCAATATCAGCTGTCTGGCCACGGTCCACCAGATGATCACCTCACCTAGTCGGAGGATTCTCCCATTGTGTAGGACGCACATAACGCCCGTTTCTGCACAGTTTTAAAATCTGAACGTTTATTATGCCTTCGGCGATGTAGGCGCTAGGACCATCTCCTTATCTTCGACTGAATTTGTAATATGTGTATGTACAAGCAAATTAACTGTATAATATAATGAAAAACAAGAAACGCAGATTATAGTGGTCGTTTTAGTTACTCTACAGATTCCTTTCCATCTCTTACTAAAGGTTATTTTATTATTAGGCAGTAAAGGAAAAATTGGTGCGTCGCAGTTTTCGCTGGATCCTTCTACTGACTGACTATTCAACTTTCGACGTGAGCCAATTAGTGCTTCCGACAATCATACTCCAGGTAGACTCTGGAGAATGCTGCAGAGTGTTGAGGAAAGAAGACTGTACTTGTCCAGAAGTTTTTCAGGTGAAATGAATGTTCAGAAAATCAATCCATATAGTGTTCTCGTTTCTGTTTGTCATTTATCAGTTTTTGCTTGATCTGGCAATTGATCTTATTGCTATTTTGCATGCAAAAGATTTTATGGATGTTTGTCATTCAATTAGGCTCGAACAGCTGAACGGATTGAACGAAATTTGGATCTTATCTTATCTTATCTTTAAAAGCACATAGCTACTTTTAATCCGATACAATTATGTCAAAATTTTGGTTCGAGGCCAGTTTTATTTCCCTTGGGACTGTACATGCTCGATATTATTATGGGTCATTGTTATTGAACCTACTGGGTCATAGCGGTAGGCATGTGAGTGGAAATGTTCAAATCTACTAAAGTCTAACTGTAATTCTAACAAATTACATACTTTATTCCATAGAAGAAGCAACACATTCTCAACGCGTTAATAGCATACATCTCCGAAGTCTACTCAAAGTTAGACCGGGAACTTTCAGTCATCACTTCAGCAGTAGACTGTGATGACCTCGAACCAACTATGAATAGCACAAAGGAGAAGATTTACAGAAAATTTGCAGAAGATGCTGACATCAGTAATGAGACAACGTTCTATTGGGATGCTGATAGGTAAGTTAGTGGTTGACGAGCTGTGGTGTGGAGGTAGCGAATTCACCATTCAGTTGTACGTGTTAATGTGTTGTTTTATGAGTACGCGTCCCCGTTATCTTTGAGAAACCTTGGTTCCAACTTTGGGTATCTCTTACCCAAGCTTTATGACCCTGCTTTTAACCCAATTTAGACTCTTCGATCTTTCCGTCTGAAAGCAGGCTACAGTACCCAAGAAATTTGACGTCAGGCAGTTAAAAGAAATCGGCTAAAACTCTAGAAAAATGTACACATTGCAATAGATGATGATAATAAATGTGTCATTAGACTGTATCCATATGTTTTTTATGGTCTAGAACCTATAACACAAGCTATGTTTAGGTTAGCTCCAGATAGCCTGTATAAAAAAACATTCTATACTTTGCCTTACCGAATATGGCCACAAGCAGTGGCAGATGAGGCGAGGAGCATTGGCAAGACATGGAGCGAAATTAAGCGCGAGGCTCAGTACTGATCAAGATGAAGATTTGCTGTGGACATTATACCCCATTCAGGGGACATAGGACATTAATAAAGAATAATTTATCAAGATACTAAGGAATTCTTCGTTGGGTACTAAAGAATTCCTTAGTATCAGTAGAAGTAGTAGTTAGTATCAGTAGAAAAAAATATTTTAGTTTACTAAAATATTTCTTTCTCGTATTTCTAACAGATCTGGACTCTTCCTCCGTTCGCATTTCATCTTATCAAACTACAAGCCAGAATCTAGTTCCCAGGTGGTAGCGACCTGGTCTTCCAATGAAGAGTACAAGTTACTGCCAGATGTGGAACTGGAACCGCTAAGGATGTTTTTCAGGATCGGAACGGCAGTGGTAAGATTTAGTATATTAGGTAGAACTCTCATAAAGGATAATAATATGTTAAACCTAAAACTGAAGTCCAATTTATTATCAAATTTAAACTCTTGATTTCACAATAAGGTATTTTCGTAGTAAAATCGTAAAGTATTACTAAGACTAACAAACAATAGGGAATATGCACTTGACACCAAAATGGGCAAAATATTTTTATTTGTAATTTTTATTGCTAAAAAAAGATACCCAAACAATTATTTTTGAAATTTATTATAATTTAATAGTGAAATTTAATCATCAAAAATTGGCTTTTTTAAGATTCCCTCGCAAATTTCTAAAACGCAACGCGGTTGAATAAAACGTGACGTCAACCTACACTGTCAAGTGTCAACAAGTTGTGTGTCAGTGTTAAATTATTAAATTCCCGTTTAGAAAGACTCAACACAATGACTGAATATTATACTTTGTCAGGTGCAGTTTTGATATTATTTGGGCACAAAGGAACGGCACAATATTTATAATAAGTTTTTATTGGCTTTTCCGTCGTAATAAGTTAATTTTTATCACTCACTTTTTTAACTTTCACAAACTTTGTGAACTTCACTCTGTTGTTGACATCGAATTCGTCTGAAAGTGTCATCGGACGTCACAAAAAAAGCGCGCCAAAATGGACGTGTTCAAATTGCCCCAAAATGATAGTGATTTTAATAATTTTTTATTTGCTTAACGGTTTATATTTCGGATGTGTTATATTTATTATTGGTAATGTAATAACTAGTAGAATCGTTTAAAAAAATAAAAAAAATACATGCATATTCCCTATTACCGAATCAACTTTCAGTGATAATACGATATAATCACATTACAGTTAACGTTTGATGTTTAATACTTTACTGCGAAAATACCTTTTATTACATTTGTGAGATCGAAAGTAGATTGGAACTGAATTTTGACCGATTTTTCTGAAAGTATTCTTAGGAGAAGGTGGCTCTCCAAAGGAGATGTTCTAGGGTTCGTCTTGATATTTTATCACCATCTAAATGACAATTCAAATTAATTTCAATTTCGAAAGTATACCTATAGAGTAACCAGCACAAGCTGTATCGCACACTTTCATTGTGCGATACAGGTTCGGCAGTTACTATGTAATTATGTTTGTCTTCACTAGATGGCTCTGTAGTATATTTTGGTGAATGCTAAACTATTAAACGGTAATGAAAAATCTTTGTGGATAAAAATCTTTTTCCAGGCTATACCCTGGACGCTGCCGAAGCTTGACCCTCAATCGGGGGAACAGATGATCAATGAAGATGGCCAGCCTCTCTATGAGGGGTATTGCATAGATCTCATGCAGAGGTTATCTGAAGTAAGGAGAAAATTTATACATATATAAGTCTCTCTTCTTCTTTTAAGCCTTAGAGTTAAAGGAAGGAGGGGTTTGGGTTTTATTATGTAGTAAACTCAGTTTACAAATAAAGTAAGACAATATAGGGCCATGACATATACAGAAACTGTCTTAAAATAAATATTTTGTACCAGCTTTTGCCCGCGTGTATGTATGTTACTAAGTTACTCGCTGATAAAATAGCTTTCAATTGGTGAAATATTTTTTTAAATCGGTTTATGGTTTAGGCGTGAAAGCGTAACAAACAAATAAACTCACTTTTACATTAATAATATTCAAGCTTTGGGCCGCGGCTCCGCCCGCGTGTTGCCAGTTATCGCGGTAAAAAGTAGCCTATGTTACTCGCTGATAAACTAGCTTTCTATTCATGAAAGAATTTTCAAAAACGGTTTTGTGGTTTAGGCGTTTAAGCGTAACAAACAATTAACTTCACTTTCACATTTATAATATAAGCATGGAAGTTTGGATAATAAGAGAAAATGGTAATCTAGAACAAGAAATCTCTTTATATTAGTCAATGTTAATTAATAAAAAATTCACTTTCCTTTCGTGGCTTAACATGTCTAGTTCTAACTATGTATTGACATCGTTGTCATTTTCACTTGATAAGTAGTTTTCCATGTTATAAGATAATAATAAATAATTGTTATAAGACAACTCTGTACTAGGAATATATATCCTGTGTCGCGGGGGACTTTACAAACAAACATGAAACGGACACAAAGAACAAATTGTTGTTTTGAGTCTGGGACTCAAAATAACAATTTGTAGATCGCATAAATGTGTATGATCGTCCCATGTAGGGATCGAACTCACAACACTCAGCGTAGTAGGAAACGCGACGTGACCGCTTTAAACACCACAGCATCCGTGCAGTCTTATATTTGTTAATTACTGGCTTTTGACCGCGGCAAAAGCCTATGAATTTCCTCAAGAATCAAAGTATCTTCATAAGAAATTTAATCTAAATCGGTTTAGCGGTTATTGATTCCCCATACAAACTTCCACCCTCTTAAATAATGATTTCTGGGATTAAAACTACCATATGTCCTTTCCCAGGACTCGGACGATCTCTATACCAAATTTCATCAAAATCGGTTCAGTAGTTTAAGCGTGAAGAGGCAACAGACGGGTAGACAGACAGACACACTTTTGCACCTACAATATTAGTATGGAGTATAAACGGGATGAGTATCAGACCTTTATGCTTTCAGACAATGTTATTTGATTACGAAATAGTAAGTCCGAAGAGTGGAGACTTCGGAAAGAAGCTTCCTAATGGTACATGGGATGGTGTTGTTGGAGATTTAATGAGAGGGGTGAGTTGTTACATCTGACAAATGGCTATAAAACTCTACTTTTTTAAAGTGAAATTTACTTAACAAATTGTAACGTAGCATGATGCTGTGTGGTGACGAAATAAGAACACCGAGTGTCGAAAGATCCGACTAAGGTAGCAATCTACGCAGGACAACAGCACTGTAAAGGGAAGAAAAACTAAAAACAAACCGTAAACCCACCCGTCTGCTAGATGTCTGACGTCTGGTATAATAGATGAAAACCTCCTTTCTGAGGAGGGGTTATGTCCAGCAGTGGACTATTATAGGCTGTTGATGAACATTTTGGTGTTTTCATAGAATGTCATCGGTTTGTGTCCTTGTTGTAGTAGTCTCTACCACGGGTACGTGACCCTGGTCTGTTCAAGCTGCTGCAGTGTTAGTCCAACATCCCACCCGACACTAGCATTATCCTTCTCCCTAGCTCTGTATATAACTGCTAAACGGGAGTTCGTGGGTTCAATTTTCACCCAGAACAAATATTGTGTGAATACACGATAATTTGCTACTAATAATCGTGCTCATCGAATCGCATCGAAGTAGGAATCAGTAGTGACCAGTCACTCTGGCCTTCGAAACCATGGGAAAGGGTTATCCCACCCAACTACTGCAATACCACGGTGTCACCCATGACATGCATAGCCAAATCTCCTCAAAAGAGGACCGACCTTGGAGAAGAGAAGAAGCACAAGAGAACTTAAGCAGTGCCTATTTACCCGGGTCTACGTCTATGAAGAAACAAATTCTTCAATACCTTCTGATTATGACTGCATTTTGTTAAAGGAGACCGACATCGCTATATCAGCATTAACCATGACAGCAGAAAGAGAAGAAGTTATTGATTTCGTGGCACCATACTTCGAACAAACTGGGATTCTCATCGGTAAGAGTTGATTATTGCCAGAAGAAATTTTTAACTTCTTGAATTTTTTTACTTACTGAATATTTCATTATTCTGTTTGACGGCAGTCTTGAATTTTCTGAAGTTAATTTCTCTTCTGGCAATTACTTCTTTACTATCCATCGACACAAAACATTTATCCAAAAGCTTTGTACCGAAACTGTTCAGGCAGCCCTGGTATAAAGCTTTTGGACAAATCTACTTTCGAATGTCAAAATATTTCCAATTTGACAAATCTACGTACATTAAATGGTGTAAAAGGCAAAGTTGAAAGTAAAATGAAAAAAAAAATCGAATTAAAAAAAACCCTATTCAAACCTATTAAGAAAACTATGTTTTCCATTAATCTTGAAGCATATTGATTTCTTTTAGAATTCTTTTTCTATCTTAAACGGTAAGACGATCAAAGGCGATACAGATATCTTTGGAACCTTGACTAATTATCATTGCAGTTGCCTAAAAATGTGTTAGTTTTATCGTGACCTTAAATATTTAAGCATAGTAGTGTATTTCTTTAATTAAATTTTCGTAGATAGTTAGGTTATTAAGGTAAATAAATGAAAAATATTACTAAATGAATATTTTGCTTGGCAAATGCGAAAGTAAGGAACATAATTTTTTTGAATAAGTGTTTGATTGTCTAATGCGGGGTCTCCTCCACAGCTATCAGAAAACCAATTCGAAAAACATCACTCTTCAAGTTCATGACGGTACTTCGCACTGAAGTGTGGTTAAGCATCGTGGCTGCGTTGGTACTTACTGGCTTTATGATCTGGTTGCTGGATAAATACTCGCCATATTCTGCCAGGAATAACCCTGATGCATATCCTTATCCATGCAGGTAAGTTCTAATGACTGTAGAGGAGATTCCGTGTATTTTTTATGACATGTTGCAAACGATTATCTGATGGTAAGTGACTTTTAGCGCCCATAGACATCTGTGACACCGAATACTTAAGACAAACAAGTTCGTTGCCGTCCTTAGGACCTAGATATTAAGGACAGTTAATTGTGGATAATATAAGTTGTTGTCCCGTATGGGAATCGAACACAACATTCGGTGTGGAAGGCAACCTGAGGCGAAAGTGCGAGTTTATTTCTATCATCTATTCGATCATCACGGTGATTGGCCCGCTCTGAAATTTTAACCAATCGCAACACCGAACACTTACCAGTCGCTGTGGAGAGTGAGTTGATGTGAATGAACTCGCACCTCGCTCCCCCACTGTTTAACCTTTACTCTTATACTACTTCTTTTCAGAGAATTCACTCTGAAGGAAAGTTTTTGGTTTGCCTTGACGTCTTTTACTCCTCAAGGGGGTGGGGAAGCACCTAAGGCTCTGTCAGGAAGAACTCTGGTTGCTGCGTACTGGTTATTCGTAGTGCTCATGCTGGCCACCTTCACGGCTAATCTGGCTGCGTTTCTTACTGTTGAGAGGATGCAGGTAAGATATAAAGGCTCTTGTGTCTGTTCCAGCTACGACTTAGAATAAAGATCAAACGAACAAAAGCAAGTTAGGTTAAGTTCACCGTAAATATGTTTAATATTAGGTCTTTATCTATGAAATTGCCGTTTTGTATGCAATAAGTGAAGCCTTGCACCAACCGACTATTACTTTTTCCAAAATTTAGACAACTTTTTAGTGGGTGAAAAATTCAATTCCCGAGAGGCAGTACAAAATGCCTTTGAAGAGTTTGTTGCCTCCCGTCCAGCTGATTTTTACAAGAAGGGCATCAATAAACTGCAAATGCGTTGGCAAAGATGCGTCGATTGCATGGGTGATTACTTCAAATAACAGAAATAAAAAAGTTTGAAAAAATAAGTACTTTCACTTATTGCATACAAAAGGCAATTTCATAGATAAAGACCTATTATATAATTGCACACAAATAAACCGACACACCTATACACGCTCACACACATACACTCACATTATAGTACACGCAAACGCACTTACCGGACATGACAAAAGGTACTTGTAGGCATCCAATTTTCATATCAACTCTTTGATACTATAACTTGACTACCTTTTTTTTTACCTGTACTACGGTACTACTACGGTAACCAGAATGCTGATAAACATACTTAAATATTTTAAATACATACATATTATAGATAAATAACACCCAGCCAACAGCCAATAACAAATAAATAACTGGCCAGACTTACCTTCTATGGGTTCCTTCAGTTGCCTCCACAGGATTACCTTATTCTGTATTTGTTTGCCAGACACCAGTTTCCTCCCTGGAACAGCTTGCCCGTCAGTCCAGGATCAACTACACAGTTGTGGAAGGTTCCTCGGTCCACCAGTACTTCATTAATATGAAGTTTGCTGAAGATACTCTATATCGGTGAGTGCGGATTTGATGTCCATGGTTGGCAGATCGAAACCTGTCAATACTATTATTTGCAATTTGTGAAAACTAAATTGAGTTTCATGCCTCTTTCTAAGAAATTATAGTCCAATCCCGTTAAGAAAATAGTGACGGATAGATCAAGACACATCCCGTGACCAATCAGGTTCCAAGAAATTATCGTTTCGTACAAAAGCTTGGAACGTCAAGGCCCGCCCCTTGCCGTTCCAAGCTTGATCGATGAGTCACCATTTAAAAAAAACAACACTTCCTTTAATAGAGACCCGCTTTAGACGGTCTTCAATGAGCCAGATATCCTTATCTTAGTATTAGGGAGGAAGTAGATGAGGAAGTGGGGGTGTAAAACAGCTCCTTATGTGACTCTGATATGATGATGAAAGGAATATTTTTCAGAATTTTTATCTGACACAAAGATTATTAAATATGTATTTTTCAAGTATTTTTGAGACATTTTGCAATATCTTTGGAGAAATGTTGGCAACACGGCGTGGACTGTACTACGCTGTGTGGCAAAAAAGTACCGACAGCATAATAAGAATCCTATAACGCAAATGATATAAGTTTTCTCATTAGTATTCCTTAGTAACTCACAAACTTTATCTTGGTCTTTGTAAAATATACATGGGTCCGGAACCCATGACCCATTCTCCACCAGTGTGAAGCACGAGAACTATATAGGGTACCATGCTCCAACTGATAAAGTTATTGTACAGTTGTAAATTGTTTCCCCAGTATGATTCAGAAGATCTAAACAATGATTCAAAGGGTGGAGATGAGTCCGGATTCTCTTGCCATTAATTTAGGCGCATAAGACGGACCACACTCATGAATGAAGGAGATCGGCTACACAGATCAGAATAAATGCAAAAATATAAAATTCTGGATATTCTTCTTGCAGGGTATGGAAAGAGATTACACTAAATGCCACATCAGATCAAGCTCAGTACAGAGTTTGGGATTATCCCATTAGAGAGCAGTATGGCCATATTTTATTGGCTATTAATGCTTCAGGTAAGAAACGTTTCAGATATAATGTTGGTTAAATAAACCGAACCTGTTAAAAGTAATTACATCACATCCTTTAATATTCCACTGCTGGACATAGGTGTCTCCTTAGAAAGGAAAAAAAAAAAAGTATCAAATGTCAACTGTTTACACAGCCAACTGACGTCATGACCACACAGCAATATGACGTCCAATGTGCTCATCAAATTCTGCTCGAAATTCGTTTGAAAATATAAGACATAGTTAGAATATTGGGAATTTGAGAACCTAAAACCTAAAACTATGTTTGGTGTTAACACTATGAAAAAAAAAAACTTTACAGAGACTCCCGAAGTATTAAACACGTGAAAACTTAATATCGGAGTTTTAGTCAATTTCATTTTTCGCCCAGGTCCCGTCCCGGATGCTAAGACAGGCTTTCAACAAGTCAACGAACACACAGACGCAGACTTTGCATTCATTCACGACTCTGCTGAAATAAAGTAAGTGATAAAAGCCGTAGAGTTGCAAACCATCTGTGTTAAGTTTATTATTATTTTTTGATGTGTGACGTTTTTGATCATGCTTTTCTTAATCTGTGGGAGTGATACCATGACACCAACCAGATCTATTACGTCATTAACCTCTAAATAAGATGTCAGTTCGTATCACAATATAATAATAATTACGTATGCACCTTCATCACACACTAGACTTTGGCAGAATTGTCGACATCGGCAGTTTGCCATAAACAAAAAAAAAAACGTATTATCTATGCACTATAATTTAAATCTTTTCAGCCTTTCGAAAATGTTTGATTTGAATGAGAGATTTTGGATCAGGGATTTTTATCTTATTAAATAAAAATAAATGTTTTTATGTTTATCCTCTATGCGTTTCGAAACTATTGATCTGATTGTGTTAAACGGTGGTTAGGTTTCCAAACCAAAAACATCTATATTAAAATATATTTTTTTTCTTTATTTCATTATTAGCTGACTCGCGCAACTTTGTCTGCGTTTTTTAAAAGGAATAAATTTTCCCCGTTTTTGCAAAATTCTTCAAATATATAGCCTAGAGTATTTGTTGATAAATGGGCTATCTAACACGGAAATAATTTTTAAATGGGACCAATAGTTCCTGAGATTAGCGCGTTCAAGCAAACAACCAAACAAACTGTTCAGCTTTATAATATTAAGTATAATTATTATATTTATCTATTTAATATACTGTTTATTGCACTTTATTTCTATGTACGTGGCATTGCCGGGTACAGCTACCTAGTTATTTATATATTATTTACTTATCATATATGGCCCAGCTATTCTTTGTATAATATGTGCCAAAATATAATTCAATATTGTCTAGATATGAAGTCACTCGTAATTGTAATCTGACGGAGGTGGGAGAGGTATTCGCGGAGCAACCTTATGCAATAGCTGTGCAGCAAGGGTCCAGGTTGCAAGAAGACCTGTCCAGGGCATTACTGGAGTTGCAGAAAGAACGGTTTCTAGAGCAATTGGCGTCGAAGTAAGTATATAGCCTTTAAGCCACTTTGATCCAGTGGTTTAACTTGGATCCACGCGTCAGCTCAGAAGTCTATTCACCAGGATACCAAATAGCAAGTTAATGTTCGTGCCCTACTGGAACAGTCTCCACAAGTTTGGCATACGGTACAAGACCTTACAGCTCCTGCAGTTTTCATCTACCTCGCCCGAACCCTTTTCTTACCTTAAGTTACCCACGGAGGGTTGAAGTTATTTTGAGAGAAACCAGCTAAAAGCGTTTGCAATTTTACCCCATTGCGCCGAGTCCAAATTTAATGGTGATGATACCGCAACCTTTATTTTTCTTTCCATTTTCTAAATATTATAACTATATTTAGCCCGTAACCTATGTCCAGAGCAGAAGGCTAATTCTCGTATGGAAAATTTGGTCATAATTCAGATCCGATCTACGCTTGATCCCACAAATGTCATAAAAGTTATTTTCGTAGTAAAATAGTAAAGTATTACTAAGACTATCAGATTGCCAATTCAACTTTCTGCCACAATACGATATAATCACACACACACACACGAAACAGTCAACGTTAGATGTTTAATGTTACTACAAGAAAAACTTTTTAGACATTTGATAGATCGAGAATATTGACCGAATTTTTATTACGAGCATTGGTCTTCTGGACTTTCCGAAGCAAAGACTTCTCCAAATCCAATTTGTGATTCCAGAGATCCTCAGTTTTTTATTATATAAAGATTTTTCGCAGGTATTGGAACGAGTCTGCCAGACAAGCTTGTCCTGATGCTGACGAGTCGGAGGGAATCACTTTGGAGAGTTTGGGTATAAGTTTTTAAACTTTTGGATAAAAAGAGCACTGCGTGAGAGAAGATATGGCAGGGACAAGATAAAGTAGTAAAATTGAGATTTTCCTCAGAGCCTTTTTGCCAAACTAGGTCGGCTTTAAGTCTACTTCGATATGGCTGAACTTTTTACGCGGCGCGACTGCAATCAGACCTCCACAACCCAACTACTAGCTGATATTAAAGTTCTGTAGACAGACTGTTATCGGACTTCTTAGAGCTCCAACTAACCATTACGATTGCCTAACGTGCTCTCTCCGAGGCACGGAGGGGTCTCAACGTGTTAATAGTGGTCCCATCCAGAGACTGACCTGGCTAGGATTGCTTAACTTTAACCAGCTTGGGTAGCTTAAGGGTAAGCCACGAGCTCCTTAGAACGTATTAGATGCTGATGATTTGTTATAAAGGCTCCTGACACGCCAGATCTACAAGGTAGATTATTTGGGGATTTAATTGGCAAAATTCATCAAGCGCCTTTCTTTGTAAACCAATGAATCTAATTGAGATTTAATTTTAGTTAAAACTGATATATCCTGTCTGTGGAGGGTGTGTAACTGGGATACATGGGGCAGAGGAACGAAGGATATTGCATTCGTCAAAAGTGTCCAGTGATCTATGTCCAGCAATGGACTGTGAAAGGTTCATTGATATATTTTTATTTTCAGGAGGAGTATTCATTGCAACTCTCTTCGGCTTAGGCCTGGCCATGATAACATTGGCTTGGGAAGTCTTCTACTACAAACGCAAAGAGAAGAACAAGATCCAAACAGTCAAACCAAAACCAGAACAGGTGACGTTTGGTGTCAAGAACACGTTGGAAACCAAAGTGGCGGAATCTGTCACCAAGTTGAGAAGAAGGGCGAAGATTGGAAAGAGGGGGAATATTACCAAAAATGTTACTATAGGAGATAAGTTTAGACCGGTGGCTGAAAACGGGGTGTCTTATATAAATGTATTTCCTAAAGATTATATGCCGTAAGCTATTTTAAGAATACCAGAATTTAGTATAAGTCGATTACATTTAGTTAATTCTGCATCTGCTTCTAATAGAAGGCGACTTAAAAAAAAACTGGATATTCTCAATTCAGCTGTATTTGGTTTATCTTTGTATAATTTATGAATTAATTTGAATTCTTTTTTTTTTCAAGGAAATTAAATATTTTAATACCTATATCTCACACATTTCACATACGGCCGCCTGATCACAAACTAGGCAGAGCCTGTACTATGGTAACCAGACTGCTGATAAACATACTTATATATTTTTAAATACATACATATTATAGATAAATAACACCCAAACACAGACCAAATGACCGTGCTCATCACACAATATTTGTCCAGCAGTCAGGGTCACTAACCACCAACAGGCCCGTGTTAATATGCTTGTGTCCACTAATAACAAATTGCTTGGTTTATAGTTTCAAATTATAAATGAAGAGACATGTATAAGAAAAAACCAGTCTATTTCTTAAAAGACTGGTTAAAGATAATATTTATTTATTATTGTTAATATTTTTTTTAAATAAATTCAAACAAAATAGGCATTAAGTCACGTGACAGCGAACAACATCATTGTTGTTGTTGACGTTTCCATACAACAGAGCAGGTTACTCCTTATTGTTTTTCGTTTTTAGCATATTTTCTCACCTTAATATACTTTAAGTTGACACTGGACACAGATGTAAACAGTTTTGTTTCGCAGACTGTGACGTCATTGAAGACGCCATGACACTATTCAGCGTTTTCAAGGGTTTTTTTTTTTTTTTGTAATACAAAATACGTAATGTAAATATTGATTTTTCTTTCGAATATAGTTCTTTTGGGATAATATAGATATTAAAGTAAAGTAAATTGAGTCAACTAGGCTATTAAGAGTACAGTTTAGTTTTATAACGATGTAGGCGCTTTGAAGTCGGTAATACTAAGTTATAATGAACTTAAGATACGTATTATCCGACGAATTTTATAAGGGGTTGTACAAAAATGTTATCTGGTTCTCATGGGTTTTGGAAAGAAAGAACGAAAGACGAAATCCACTATCCGATGAAAACCAAAGGGCAACGGAGTCGATTATTTAAAAAAAACAACTATTAAATTAGTCCACCTCTATAAAGTACATGTAAAAATATGTTTAGGAATTAGTGTAATAAAAAAAAAAAAACAATAACTATATTTTTTATTTACAACGTAGCAATAATCAGAAAGTCACAATCCTTTGTCAAGGCTTTTAAAGATGATGACCCAAAAGCCTCACCAGAATGTCCTGGCTATAGGTTTCTCCACGAGCAAAGTATTGGTATCCAGCACCTTCCTTCCAAACTGAACAGTGAAGTGGTCAAGATTCAGATATTCTCCATCATCGATTTCACGGATCAACTTCTTCACGTGATCCCGCGTCTTCTCCACAAAACATGCAGCTAGTTTCATTTCCATTTCTGCGTTGCGAAGACCTATACAATAGGACCTGGGAAACACGACCGTCTGTTACACATTTAGTTAATACTACATCTCATTAGTAGTCGACTTAAAAAAAAGCTGGATAGTCTGAATTCAGCTGTATTTGTTTTTTTTTATGTTTTTGAAATAAGAACTCTGTCATTTATCAACTATAGTCCACTTCAATCTGTCAGAACTGTCAAACGGTACCTCCGTTTGACAGTTCTGACAGATTGAAGTATAGCGATGGGGTCAAATAAATCGATTATTAAAATATCTGATTCTTAACAGATATCGATATCATTTCTTAGTATGTACTAATCGCTTACAGTTTCACATATTTATGTATGTTATTATAAAATCCCGTATAATGGCACATCATAGGTTTTACTAGTAAATCTTAGTAGGTAGCTATCTGTTCCCAAACAAGGCAGAGCCTGTACTGTAGTCACCAGACTACTGATAAACATACTTAAATGTACCTAAATACATACCTAATGTAGATAAATTACACCCAGAATTCTGGGGAGGAATAGAACCAACGACCTTTGGCTTATCAGTAAGTATTGCTAACTAGTCCATCAACAGGCTATTCAAATCGATCCTAAATATATAAAAAAATATACCTACAGTTATTTTAATTCCTGTAAAAAACATAAATAAAATTTTCAATTCTTTTTTATTTATTTTACATATCTCCATTCCAAACTAGGCAGAGCCTGTACTATGGTAACCAGACTGCTGATAAACATACTTGTATATTTCTAAATACATACACATTATAGATAAATTACACCCAGACACATAACAAATTATCGAGCTCATCATACAATTATTTGTTCTGGGTGGGAATAGAACCCACAATCTCTGGCTTAGCAGTCAGGACTGCTAACCACTAACACGATTTTTGGGCGCACGAAATCGTGATAAAATTACAAGATTCCTTCAACAGCAGTCCGATGTCTTAATGACCTCATAGACAAATGGCAACGACGCTGGGACGAATCATCCAAGGGGCGCCATCTTTACCAGTTCTTTCCATCTGTTCGTGAACGGTTGTCGAGGACATGGCTTGAGGTGGATCACTGTGTCGCTCAATTTCTTACAGGTATAGTATCTGTATTCATTTAAATTAGTCGAGTCACCATTGTGTCAATGCTCAACAACTAACTCTGACTATGAACAGTCTGCTCATCATTTCCTCTGGGAATGTAGTCTTTGGTATATTGAACGTAATATAATGCTGAGTAGCTTGCAAGTGACATCTGGGGCGGTATACTGGGGCTTTTGCTCACGGCTGGCTGCTACTAGGCAGAGCCTGGAGCCTGTACTGTACTAACCAGACTGCTGACACCTATGTAGATACAGAACAAATGATCGTGCTCACCTCACAATGTTTTGTCCCGAATTTGGTTCGAACCTGCGACCTCTGACAGGCCAGCCTAAATACTTAAAAATAAAAAGATTTATCAAAATTAAGCCACTATCATATAAAGGGTTATCTTATATTTTTACGTCACTAAAATGGCAAATAGTCATATTTGATTGGAAATACGCTGAGGTTCATTGTAGTTTTATCATATTGGGATTTTTAATGACTTTAGGGGAAAGTGGGCGAAAATTCGTGACATACTTTTAATTGAATAGATTTTTTGAGTAATTTAGTTGTATTTAAAAGTTGTATTCTTCATAGTAAACATATTTAAGGATTCATAATATTCATTTAAGGTTTTTGGGATAGTAATAATACATACTTTTAATTGAATGAATTTTTTGAGTTTTAGTTGTATTTAAAAGTTGTATTCTTCATAGGAAACATATTTAAGGATTCATATTCATTTAAGGTTTTCTGGATAGTAATAATAACTTCACACATCTCACACACGGCCATCTAAACTAGACAAGACCTGTGCTATGGTAACCAGTCTGCTGATAAACATACTTATATATTTCTAAATACATTCATATAATAGAGAAATCACACCCAGACACAACAAATGATAATGCTCATCACACAATTACAGTGTCTTGACTACTCCGTCAGGATCACTAATCACTAAACCAACAGGCCTGTCAAGATGATTTATAAGTGTTGAGAATGGAATAACTGTGAAGTTCTGTGAAGATGACAACGTGTATATGGACACTTATTAATTATTATGGACGGCCAAAGACCGGGATCATTGGCGCTCCTTTGGGGGCTTCGCTCAGCAGTGGATGGCGATTTTATGATGGTGATAATTTTTACCAAAATTTTTTAACAGTCCACCTAGGAGTATATACAATATTTTCCGGTAGTGGTCCATTTATCCCCAACTCCCCTATGATATACAGAAACATATATATCAAAATATTAATATGATAACCCCAAAGGTTAGCAAATAAGATGAACAGAAGCAATTACTTTTGACCAGTTCGTGTTCTGGTAAAAATGTCGCGTATATTCCTCGCGATAGTTTTTGCGATTTTCGCGAAAAATTGCAACTCATTTACAATATCAGGACCGATATGGAAGAACGAGATATCAGCGTGTGCTTCTGGGGGGGAGCACCAGCATTCGTACACTTTCTACTTGGGAAGCCTTACAAATTACGATACGAAATTTGAGGATATTCGTACAACTACCACCACAGTCGAGGCAGAAGGTGACTTGCAATTGAAGACTGGTAAAGAAGGCTGGGTACCGAAAAGAGTTTTGCGACTGTCTGATGCTTCGGAGGCTTCGGAGTACAAGCAGTTTAGGGGACGTTGGAGAATGGACTCCTATCGTGGGTGGGCATCACAATCTGTGGAGATGGTGATCACTGTGAAATTCTATGATGATGATAATGTGTATATGGACACTTTTGTGTCTGCAGGATCCTGGATGTCGGTCACTTGTTCGGAAACCAGAGCTTATGTGGAACGATTGAGGATTACATTGTAATTTTATTAAATTTTATCTAATATTTCTTATAAAAGTGTTTTCTTTCTTTCTTTTTACCCGACTGCCAAGGAAGTGTTATGTTTTACGCGCGTATTTTGTATGTTTGTAAATTTATGAATTAAATACGTATCATCGAACCGGCTGGATGGAGGTCGACAGTTAGGTAAGGTATTGTTTTATCAGTCTCAAAAACCTAAATGTCAACAGATGGCCTTTTGAAAGAAAAAAACAACATGGCGGCTTTTTGGCGCAAAATAATAATGAGTTAAAAAAACTAACCTATCGAGAAGGGTATTAAAATAAAGAAAATTAAAAGGGGATTGCAAAAATACATATAAGTTATATATTTAAAATTAATAAGTAATAATAAACTGGTTTAAAAAGTTTTTGATAGCATAAAAACGGGCCATGTTTGTGTCGGACCTCGTGCTGTTGCGGTTTTTTTACTTTTAAATTGTCTTTTGCAGTCGTGTTTTTGTTTTTTTTTTATTTATTACTTGTTTGCAAACTTTTGTTTAACTGCCAATGTATGTATGTTTGTGTGTTCGGCATGAATTTTGGAAGCTTTTGTGAAGGAATTTTGGAACCACTTCCCGATGTCTCATCAACAGCCCATAATAGTCCACTGCTGGACTGATAATAGTCTCCTTAGAAAGGAGGGTTTGGCCTACTATACCACGCTGGCCAGACGGGTTGGTATAGGGTTTGTGTCAAGTTTTCCTGTTGCAGTGCCACAGGCCAACAGTCCTTTGCAGTGCTGTTGGCCTGCGTACTGCCCGATGTCTGATTGAGCTCAAATTTTGTTCATATATGAATATTTTTGTTCATATATGAGAAGCTCCAGGAACGCATCGGCGACTTCTGGAGTCCTCCCTGCCGTACCTCATGTCTGAGGCACATCCCGGAGTGATCGTAGTCACCCTGGGGCAGGACGCTACCGCGCCTCTTACTGTTCTACAGCGCAACAGCATCCCGCCTTAGACGACAGCCCCCGGCCGCAACGGAGTGTCATCTGTCTCGGGTCGTTTACAGAGGTCACATCACCCCAAGATGTGGCCGCAGCGACCCTTAGGCGGCGATTGGGGAGTTAGCGACCTCTGCCACGTCCAATTCGCCGCTCCTTCGAGCGGGATCGGCCCTCTTCCGATCCCGCTCTGCGGCCTCCTCTTGGAGCATAACGTTTCTCGCAGAAGGAGACCGCAGCTGAGCTTGTAGGTATTGTGGGTACTTGGCGAGGGATGGCCCTCGCCAAGTACCCATAATACCTACAAGCTCTGTCAGTGTGTGTCAGATGTCCGACAATATTATTATTATCAATTGCTAATGAATTCTCTCATATAGTAAATCTCATACCTGGAAGCTCTCGCCAACACAGATGTCATTGCCAGTATTTCTGTTGCTGCTTCGGCCAACCGGTTCAATTCCCTGGCGAAGCAAAATAGTTTCATTTTTCATCACTACACATCTAATAAATATCATATTCAGAACTATCGATATCTATGTTATTCTGCGATATGAAACTGTTACTGGTTTTTTTTCGGTTTCAAGTCCCCCCACCACAATGGAGGGAGGATCCTCCGACCGATCCTCCTTTTGTTATCTAATATATAAAATTCTCGTGTCACGGTATGCGTGGTTGAACTCCTCCGAAACGGTTCGACCGATTTTCGTAAAATTTTGTGTGCATATCGGGTAGGTCTGAGAATCGGCCAACATCTATTTTTCATACCCCTATTATAATTTTTTGACATTTTTTTTTGAAATAATGTATATGGCAACGTTTTCCGCGTCAGCTAGTAGTATATATACTTACGTGTATGCTGTATTCACTTTAACGCCATGTCTCGCCATAAGAGTTTCACACGCGAAACGCATTCTCAATACACAGTACTCCAGTTGTTCTGATGGAGGTTTCAAGGAGGGATGGAGATGTTCGGCCAAGTAGAGTGTGAGTTTGGGGTCGTCTTTTTCCTGCAAATAAACGAATTTACTTAAATGGTGTTACAGAAAGTTAGCAATGTATGACGTCACTAGTCGTGGCACAACTGTTCTACAGAATATATAGTTTTGACGTTTCATCAACATCAACAGCCTTTAATAATCCATTGCTGGATATAGGCCTCTCCTTAAAAAGGAGGTTTGGGCCTGCTATACCACGCTGGCCAGACGGGTTGGTATAGGGTTTGTTTCACGTTTTCCTTCTCTTTGCAGTGCTGTTGTACCGCGTAGTTTGTTCTTTTAGTCGGCTCTTACGACACCCACTTGACAAATAGGGTTTGTGACACTCCGTATTCTTAATCCGTCACCACACGGAAAAACACACTAACATTAGGAAGGCGAAAGTTTGCGTGTGTGTGTGTGTGTGTGTGTGTGACGGCTGGAGCAATTTTGATGAAATTTGGTATGGACGTAGCTGACATCCTGGATTAATACATAGGCTATTTGATTTATCCCGAAAAATGAAGTGTTCCTGTTTGATGAGCAAGGAATTCAAATACTGATAAACCTCGGATAACACCTAGGGGCGCAGTTAGTATGAAATAACTGATTTGACTTCACAGTCAAAACTAGTTTAACACCGATTATGGACTAGAGTTGAAGACTAATGATTTAAGTAGCATAAAGGTTGGGACAGACAGCAGGCGGGGCGGGACGGCTATCAGACGTGACCCGTTTGTAATGTATATAGAAGATGTCAAATAATAGAAGACACCGCGTCCCAGTTCCACTTACTGTCTTTTTTGCGTGTGGAAAGCTCCTGGGGCCGTCATCGTAACCTCACCAGAGTTTTAGAAGGGGCGGTGTGTCGGACTTGGGCCGATCAAAACCACACGAAGTGCCACACTTCCCCTTTAATAAAACCCCGCCTGCTGTCTGCCCCAACCCTTATAGTTAACAACGTCTCACCTGATGTCTATTTGCTATAACTTTTTTGATTATAAATGTGGGATTCATCAGCGGATTTCTCATTTGCTTAACTTCTTGTGACATCATTTTCCCGGCGTGATGGATGCCGTTTAAAGCTGGAAATCATATTGAAAATTATAAAATATATATGTACGAGCAGGCTCAGGTGACGAGCGGAGGGCACGAAGCTGAGGGTAGCTGGACGGTGATTAGACCAGAATCGAAATAGAATATTTTCTTTAAGTGTGCAAATGATATGTGATCTTCATCTTCTAGTAGACAAAGATGTGAAGCGTAGTTTTATTCTTTTATAACTTAAATTTTACTTTATTAAAAAAATACAACTCCCGCACTAGAAATATATCCTGTGTCGCGGGGGACTTTACAGACATATATGAAACGAACACAAAGAACACCCAGACTCAGGACGTAGGTGTGCACAAGAAAGGATTTTTAAAAATTCCACCCCTAAGAGTGCAAATTTGGGGTTGGAAATTTATATGAAACTAATTTCTTTGGTAGTAGCGTATCCTCTACGGTGTCTTTCACCACGCGGACGTAGTCGCTGGTAAAAGTTAGTACTTACATATAAACATATTAACACTATCTAAGCTTTCCCCGCGTAAAGCCAGGTGTCTCATATCATTCAACAGTTTCTTGCATTCCTCTTCTTTGTCCAGCTCTGGGATCGCTAGCAGTTTCATCATTGATCTTAGCCCATGGTTAGCCATGAAGTTTCTGTAAAGATAACAAAATTGATCAAACAACATTTGATTAAAAGATCTGGCCTGTTGGAGGTGACTGCTAAGCTAAAGGACGTGGGTTCGATTCCCACCCATGACAAATGATTGTGTGATGAACACCATTGTTTGTTCTGTATGGGTGTAACTTATCTAAAATAATATGTATGTATTTAGGAATGAACTTTGATTGCACGGATGGCGTAGTGGTTAGAGCGGTCGCTACGCCGCTCACTACTACGCTGAGTGCTGTGGGTCCGATACCCACATGGGACGACACATTATGTGATTCACAAATTGTTGTTCTGAGTCTGGGTGTCCGTTTCGTGTATGTTTGTAAAGACGCGACACAGGATTTATATTTAGGTTAGGAATGTTTATCAGCAGTCTGGTTACCATAGTACGGGTACTGGCTAGTTTGGGATCACACTGCCGTGTGTAAGACGTGTCAAGTTATTATAGAAGCAAGGGACAGGCGCTGAACACAGATATGTATATAAGGATTGGTGGTATACCTGCACATAGCCATCTCCAGCTCAGCATCAGGCTCCGCATATCCATCTAAAAGGCCTGCTGTGAAAAACTCAGCGCTCTCACTGGCATAAATGTCTAATAGTGCCTCTCCTATTGTGGAACGGATGGTGGAAAGCTCTGCTAGAGGTTTACCTAAAAAAAAATACTTAGAGAGACACGGACTTTCAGGCAAGATCTTACCTAACTGCTCAGAACAGACACTTTTTTTTCGGACATCTGACACACAACGCCATCTAGTTTCAAACTAAGCAGAGCTTGTACTTTGAAAGCTAGATAGGCTGATAGAATACTTATATATACTTTTTTATTCTAGTTAACTCAGAACAAGAAATCCTGCCCCTCCCCCCCTCCCTTCTAAAGGCGGCAGTCACTCACAATCAGAGGGCTAGTGTAAGATTATTTCACATCTACGCGATCGTTGTGATTGGGCCGAAATAAACCTTCACCAATCACAACGACGATCGAGTTCCACACTTACTCTAGGGCCTCAGCTGACCCGTCTGCTCGATTGCCTCCTTTATCCTAGCCGTGGTCGTGTTCCTACCTATATGCCCCTACGGTGATCAGAGACTTTACTAAGACAGGCCCATCAATTGACAAATGTTCTTTGTCATCTCAGCCGCATGACGTGCACTCCTTGACATAGGTACTTTTTATGTATAAATATGTCTGTATTTACAAAAAAAAAGTATATAAGTATTCTATCAGTCAATCTAGCTTTCATAGTACAAGTTCTGCTTAGTTTGAAACTAGATGGCGTTGTGTCAGATGTCCGAAAATATTTATTTATTTATAGCCCTTCCCCAAGGTTCGCCACAACAATCGATCCTGTGCTACCCGCATCCAACGGCTTCCGCAAACTTCACCAGGTCGTCGGACATCCTTGTGGGGTCAACCCACGCTCCGTCTTCCGGCACGTCGCCGTTCGACATTTTTTTTGAATTGACAAAGATCAAATAGATTTCTTACCAACAAAGACCCTTGGTCTGGTATACTCGACCACTGCGTGTACAGCTGCCTTCAATCGGGACCGACAGAGTGTTGCAGCGTGGAGTCGAGACACGCCAAGTATTTGTGCAAGTGCCGATTCTGGTATCTGGTCCAGTGGGGTAGCTGGATAGATCAATAAAAAAATAAATTAGGATCCGTACCGATGTTTGGTATAGAGATAGTTTGAGTCCCGGGAAAGGACATAGGACAGTTTTTATTCCAGAAATCATTCTTTAAGGCGGTTAAAAGAGGGGGTGGAAGTTTGTATGGGGAATCAATAACCACTTAACCGGCGTAGTGGTTTAAGCGGTCGCCACACTATGCTGAGTGTTGTGGGTCCGATCTCCACATGGACGACACTTTGTGTGATCCACAAATCTTTGTTCTGAGTCTGGGTGTTCTTTATAAATTCCCCCGCGACACAGGATACATTCCTAATGCGGGAGTTGTCTTTCCAAAAAAAAAGGAAAACACACTCAGGCGGAGCCGCGGGCAAAAGCTAGTTCTGAATAATAACCTTCAAATATGGATGTCAATAGCTTCTGGCTTGCCTAGTGTGGGGCCACCGGCAATGTATTACATATTTTGTACTTTTCTTTTTGGTAATAAAAAATGAATTTGAATTTGAAATGAATTTTAGATTTTTAAGTTAAAAATTTATCAAATTATTATTTTTTATTCACCAATTCAATCAATTTCTCGTCCTCGTTCGGTGAAGACGCCGCCATAACTGAGCATTCTTTGATGCATTAGTGACTAAAGTAACAAAATCCTTCATTCAAATTAATCACAACAATCAACAATATGTGTTCCGTAACTCCCGTAGTCTATACTAATTTTATAAAGCTGAAGTTTCTTTGTTTGTTTGCTTGAACGCACTAATCTCAAGAACTACTGGTCCGATTTTCGAAAAATTCCATCAGTGTTAGATAGCCCATTCATCGTGGAAGGCTATAGGCTATATATCATCACGCTAAGACCAATAGGAGCGGAGCACCAATGAAGAATGTTTCAAAATCGTGTTTTTTTTTTCATTTTAGAGCTTCCGGAAATAGTTCCATGTCGTACGTGTTATTTAAAAATATTTTCACCTTCTACGTAAACGAAGTCGCGGGTTAAAGTTAGAGCGTTAGCCCAAAGTAACTATTCCACGCAAACGCAGTCGCGGGTAAAAGCTAGTTTTAAAAAAATAATTAAATAAAAAAAAAACTTTATTTGGTCTGTTTAGTATGTTTGTTTGCCACCTATCATAAAAAATATATGCATTTGTTTGGACATTTATTTGTATTATAAAAAAATATTTATATTTGTAAAATGTATTCTAAAATCCTATGGGAATACAGCTTATACAGAGGTTTCCGGAGACCAAACCTCTCCTCCCACCTGTAACTCAGGAAGCAGCAACGCACTTGTAACTCCGGAGTTGCAGGGGCCGATGGCGACGGTAGTCACTTACCATCATGTGAACCACCTGTTTGTTTGCCACCTTACACCATAAGAAAAGATACATATAAAAGTTAAAACTAACCCGGTGTCTTCATGAAATTAACAAAAGGCCCTTTTGTGGTTACCCCTTGAGCTCGCGGGTGTACCAGGAATGCCATCAGTCTAGAAGCTTCTATGGCACATAGTACCAATATGTAACCATTGTTGTGGTTGCAGATTTTTTCACCGGATATATGCCAGATGCCTGTAAAATAAAACATTCTGTAATAATCATTAAACTGTGAACTGTAGGTCCAATGGTTAGTAAATTTAACTATGTAAGCTAGAAGTTGTGAGTTTGATGCCCACTCGGGATAAACCATAAATAATAATAATACAGGCTCTGTGTAGTTAGGGATCAGATGTCTTTGTTTGGATCGATGATCAACATCATCAACAGCTTTAAATAGTCCACTACTTGACATAGGCCTCTCCTTAGGAAGGAGGTCTTGGCCTACTATACCACACTGGCCAGACGGGTTAGTATAGGGTTTGTGTCAAGTTTTCCTTCTCTTTGCAGTGCTATTGTCCTGCGTAGTTTGCTGCCTTAGTCGGCTCATACGACACCCATGGTAGGAATGTGGGTGGAACACTCGGTATTCTTAATCCGTCTCCACACGGATGATAACTGTATTATTTCTTAGAATTTCTTTTATACAATCATATGTTAGTAGCAGTATATCTTAAGATGAGTGTTAGTTACAGTTGTAACAAATTAAGACGAACTTCATAATTCTAATTAGTGGACGATGACCATTACACCATCATCAGAGAGTCCAACCTATCTGCCATTGTTCTTATAATATTATTATATTAACATCACAACAACAGCCTTTAATAGTCCACTGCTGGGCATAGGCCTCTCCTTAGAAAGAAGGTTTTGGCCACTATACCACGCTGGCCAGGCGGGTTGGTATAGGGTTTGTGTCAAGTTTTCCTTCTTTTTGCAGTGCTGGTGTCCTGCGTTGTTTTGCGCCCTTAGTCGGCTCTTACGACACCCACGGGATGAATTGGGGTAGCGACATTCCGTATTCTTAATCCGTCACTACACGGACAATTATATTTAAATAGTATAAATTTATTGCATTATTTTACAAATTATATGCATTATTTTACATAGTATAAAATTATGTATTTTTTTTCTTGCACACTTAGATATTTCAAACTATGCAACAGATTTGGATGCAGTTTCCACCAATAGACAGAGTGGTTCAAGAGGCAGGTTTATATTTATAACACATGCCTAGTACGAGGGTAATCCCTGAATTTCAAAGATTTGTAATGTGAAGTTGTAAAAAACATTGCAAATGCTGCCAAACCTTACAAGACAGATCAAAATGATGTACTATTTAATTTTGTAACCCTTAAAGATATTTTAAGGGTATAATTATATACTATGTAAAATAATGCATATAATTATACAAAAAATTTTTTTTTTCTTTTACAAATTACAAAAAATTGTGAGTAATTTACGAAGCTATTTATAACAATACAGTATTATTCCTAATGCAAATAAATACGTTAGATACGTTATGCCTTTAATTTAGATCAAAATTGCTGATTGAAATTAATATCTTAGTACATGTCACAGATTTAAAATACTGGGGATATGGGGGCTGTATCGCCGCGTCGCCGTCAGGCTGTACGTACGTCCCGGGTGGCAAAAGCCGGCAGGAGTAGATAAGCGGTCTTTAAAATATTGCATATAAATATAAAAAAGAAAAATATTTTTTTTTATATTTTATATATAAATACGTCCTATAGTTGTGGTCTTATTATAATAATAGGTAGTATAATTAATATTTCTTTTTTATGTAAGACAGGCGGGACAGACGAGCTGACGAGTGCGAGGCAAAGTGTCTAGAAAAGTGCACAGTAGTGGAGCGTCATGGGGATAAAATTTATACAGTGTGGAATGATAGCGGAAAATTGCGGCGGGTACTAGTCCGAACAAATCCTCGGAACACTCTCCATGATATATACTATAGAAAATGCAGAGTAAAGCTATATCCCTATGTTGCGCCAATTACTCCATACTGATACCACATTATTACCATTCCACATATGGAACTAGTGGGTTGCAAAAGTACCACCTGGAACTGGCTATATGAAACTACTAGAAATAAACCATTAGTAGTATCTACATTGGATCTGTGGCAAGCCACAGGGAGTCTGGAGTCTAGCATAGAAGTGAAGTACATTTATGTTTACTTTCCCTAGCTAAGCTTAGTGCTTGTGTGGTGTAACCCAAACTACTGATGTCTACTGAACACATTGTGTATTGGTCAAAGACATGATCAATTAATTATGATGCTTTTAAAATTATGATGTTAACAAACCTTGCCCATCCATCTCAGCCTCCGTCCGAAAATCAGATTGTGTGATTCTCTCCGCTACTCTTTCTTTGATAGCCAATGCTATAGTATTGTCCCCAGAGATAAGGTCATCAATTATCATTGAGTATTGATCATGAGTTAACCCATGTTGTAAAGCTTGTAATCCAACCCAATGGTCACTCAGCTCCTGTGCAAGTTGGAAATCCTGAGCAATAGCATCTAAATACATTAAGCTTTCGGTATTATTAGCTGAAAGACCATTTCTAGTCCAGCTAACAGGCGCTGCATACATTTTTGTACTTTTTAATATGTTTCTCTTGTCATCTGCTGTTTTCTTAGAGTCAGAAAACACACTGTCTATAGCAGTTAGTCTCTGTTCAAGGTTTTCATTCTCTTCTTTGTTTATAATCTCTGGATATGCGAGTAACTCCCGGTCAAATACAGAAACAAAAATGTTTTTCATAAATGGCTCGATTTTAGCCTTACGACGTTCTGTACGTTCGATAACATTTAAATCTTCAAAATCGTATTTTTCTTCTTGTACTTGAGGCTGCGATGCTGCTGTTGAATCATAATTTACTGCTGAGAATCGAAATTTTCTGTATAAATTCCGACTGACATAACTATGGGGTACCGTACAAAATTTACGGACAACATTCATTTTAGAAGCAGTGTATAATCAATACGAAATATTATTCAATGCTTTGTTGCAGATTGTTGCTAATATTATTATTTAACTTTAATATTTACGAATTATAAATAATTATCGTGATTTTACTAGGTTATAGTTTGACATTCAGCATTTGACATATACATATCTGACATTCCATAAAGGATTGTCAGAATAAATCAACACATAAAAAAAAGTAGTTATCGATAATAGTAAAATGTCAGTCCTTATTGTATATTATAAATGGCGATATTATAAAATATCTAAATAATAATCTAAATAATCGCTATTAAAAATAAATCTGAAAAAAATGATTATTTCCTAATATTATTTATTGTTTCGTATCGTTTAGAACCTAACATAAACAAAGAGATAGATGGATCAGTTGGATCCATCAATGTGGAAAGGGAATAAAGCCCACTAACCGTGAGAGGAAAAAGCGCCCGTCAAAGTTGTTGAAGCAAACTAGATGTGGGAGATGCGAGTTACAACTAGCTTGCTACATTATACTAATCTGTGGTTACGACATCCGACTGACGTCTGTGAATTTGATATGCAATACCCTACACAAAAAGATGTACTTTTAGGAGTATATCTAATGATCCCTCTGTTATGAATACAACATAATCTATAATTAAAAACGACTATTTATAAAATCAATTGAAACAATTTTATTCACAGCCTAATAACTTTTAAAATACAAACACTTGATGATTATGACAAACAATGGTGATAATTAGAATTGGGTTTTCAATTTGCCGTATGTAATGCAATGTATGTACAAGATTTTACAAATTAAATTATCGAAGGAAATTATTAAATTAATTTTGTTCATAATTCAGAGAGCAATCGTAACTGAAACCAATTTCACCTGTAAGTACAAGTGTTTAAATTCTATGTATTAAACACCCTTGGTGATTATTTATTTTTATGATACAGTGGAATCTAGCCAGACAGCTAACCTGATATTAATTGACTATCGCTGCCTATGAACACCTGCAAGACGACAGTTATAAGTATGTTGCTAAATATTTGACACGTGCAACAACAACTATTACATTTATCACGGTTTTCATAACTATCATAAGAGTAAATTTTAGCTGCATTCATTAGTACCTACACATATTTTCTCAAAACATAGTTTAGTGAGAAGTTGCATAAAAAGTTTCAAACAATGAGATGCCATGATATATTGCAGCGTTCTGGATTATTGTTATAAAATACAACAAGGTTAAACGAAAATTTTAATTTAAATCTGGCAACATTCATTTCGAGGTGACTAGTGGTGTGACACGTTTAGAAATTATTTAAGGTGAGGCATTGTTTGTTTTTTTTACTTTTATTAGTATTTTAATTTTTTTAATGGTTTTTTAAATGGATTTAATGCTCTATGCTCGCTGGTATCGTTTGGTATCACTAGATGACAGTATTGTTACTTGTTAAAGTGGATAGTGTTAAATACACATATTTTGGGTACTAGATTTTTTCACTTTAGACTTCTCTGCACAAAAAAATCTTTTTAAATGATGAAATCAATGTGTTAGAATTTATAATTAAAACTGCAATAACCAACAAGAAAACTTTATAATTTTAAATATTTGTACCCAACTATCTGTTAGGTTTGGTAATAGATGGCAGATATAACTTATTATAGATTTATTCATTTTACTCAGGTATTTTCAGTTTCATTTATTTGGTTTCTTAAACAGTTATTTTTTTTATTCAAACGTAAACATTTTTTCAGCAATATGGATTTTAGTAAATAAGTTTATAAGCATTTTAGAGCTCATAATAAAACTTTAACGATTTATCGATATATACATATAATTGATCTATATAGAACCTAAATTAGGCGTTTACGAAGCTTTGCTAATGTAATTTACCTTAAAACATCGTAGTAGTAGGATTTTAGAGTATAACTTTCCCATCACTAGCATTTTGCAAGGGGATGAGGTGAAGATGTTCTCACCCCACTACAATTTACATTCAATAGACAACTTTATCAAGGGCGAATAAGATTCATATTATATTCAACGTATAAAATCAAGTTGTTTTACATAACTGTGTATAGGTTTGGTGCCATGAAATAATCAGTAAGTTCCTTACAACAGAAGCCCTTGGCCGTACGCGTAACGCTGAATTGACTAGATGTAAAATAGAAAAAAAAATGTTTTCGAACAGATTTAGCGCGGAAAATATGTGACATTTCATCTTTTCTATATTTAAAATGAAGTGATTGAAATTTATTTGATAATGACTAGTAATTATCGTTGAATTTTATGGTGATCTGTGATTGAAATGGTTTCATGTCAACGAGGTTGTGGATGTGCGTTTTAATGGTATGCCTTTTTTTCTAAATAATAAGCGTCTCTTTGTAAGGTTGTATCGATAGTCCATTTTGAGGCTTAAAGCGCCTGGGGGTTTTGTATTAGCAAATGTTAGGTGTACACTTTTGTTTATGACTTTTTTTAAAGGATTGTTTCCTTGACAAGTCCGGAGTTAATATTGTGCTAGTACTTATTAACTCATAAGTGACTTAGTGAGGATTATAGCTGCAGGTTTACTATATTATATTAAGATTTAACTAGTTGTATCTTTAATTATTATTTTTCGTGATCGTAAAACGTAAAATAAAATTAATACTGAGACTTAAGACAAAGTAACTCTTATTCAGGTTTCATAAATGTAAGTGCTTAAATACACTTATTTTTAAATATTTTCTTTTTACTAAAAATGATTTTTTTTTACTTACGTACATATATTACAACAAACGAAATGCATTTCAACTTTACAACCCCAAAGAAGCCAACAGCTTAGGAAGAAATTCAACGGACTGGTTAAAGCCAGTCGGACTCCCATAATCATACCACTTCTTAACACCTTAGATATATCTATTCTATTGTTATAAAGCTGACGTGTTTTGTTTGAAAGCGCTAATCTCAGGAACTACTGGTTCGAATTGAAACAATATTTTAGTGTTGGATAGCCCATTTGCCGAGAAAGGCTATAAGCTATATAATAATAATAATATTCTAATACATTCACACAACGCCATCTAATTCCAAACTAAGCAGAGCTTGTACTATGGTTACTATACAACTGATATAAATACATATGTACTTTTTTTTGGTAATTACATACTTATTATACATATTAACACTCAGAACAAATCAAACATTAAATGTTCATGAACACAAATGTTTGACTTGAGCGGGAATCGAACCCGCGACCTTTGGAATAGCAGTCCGACAGCACCACGCCATCCGGCCATGATGTTATATGCTATATAACATCATTCTACCACTAATAAGAGCAGAGTATCAATGAAAAAGGTTGCAAAAAAGGAGAAAATTGATTCCTTTTGAGAGACGTAAACAGCCTTTCAGCTAGTTGAACATACACACACACACACACACACAATGACTTGATAACGTAGACCAGTTAAAAAAAATGTAAGACCTTTCCTCTTTGTCCGTGTGGTGACGGCTTAAGTATACGGAGTGTCACTGCCCCTATTCATCCCGTTGTTGTCGTAAGAGCAAACTATGAAGGACAACAGTACTGCTAAGAGAAGGAAAACTTGAAACAAAACATATATCAACCCGTCTAGCCAACGTGGTATAGTAGGCCAAACTGAAACTGAAAACTCGCCTACAAAATTAAAGAACTGTGTTTTACACTTCATTATAGGCAATTTTTGGTCACCTGATTGATGTTTCGTCTTAATTAGTGTATAGAAAATCAATAGAAAGTACCTACCTACATTACCTACTACACGAAAACTTAAGTATGTAGGTATGCCTACCTATACCTATTTATTATATAATATTATATTACACACACTAGATTAGAAGACATCATTAACACATTGCCGTCCGCTTTACTTGCGCATAAAAGAGACAACATTATGTCTTCAAGACCATCGCGCGAATGCGAGAGTGTGAGTTTGGTTTTAAACCGAATCAAATTGATTATTTATATCATTTGAAAACCATAAAATAAACAAACGTTCATTTCCAGAGTTTTTAACTTATCAATAGAGTTTTTACAACTTAAGTAGGTAATATCTACGCTTGGTCGGACAGTCCAACTAGAACTAAACCTGCTAAGTATATCAATATCAGTATATCACACATACCGTGGGAGAGCCATGCTTCGGGCCGGCTCGACCGGAGTGATACCACGGCCTCACAGAAAACCGGTGTTAAGCAATTCTTTCGTTGCCTTTTACTGAGTGAGTGAGGTTACCGGACGCCAAATTCCCCCTCGCGCTGACTCGAGCGGGAGGGACTCCAAGGCCAGCAACGCACTTCTGACTTTTGAGTTGCAGGTGTCCATGGGCGGCGGTAGTTGCTTACCATCAGGTGACCCGTCTGCTCGTTTGCCCCCTTATACCATGAAAAAATGGTAGAAATACAGAAGTGGTCCAATTTAAGCGCCGGTTCAATATTGGTTTGTGGTATGTTTATCTTGAGCGTTGTATTGAGTATTGAAAAATCCGGAGAAGTGCAAGTCGCACTCGCCCACCGAGGGTTCCGTATAAAATTGTAGGTACTAGGTATTAGGTATTTGGTTGTAGGTATTGTAGGTTTATTTGTAGGTTCAGGAATCGAGTCTTGCAGTTTTTGCCGAGCTTTTCCCGAAATTCTGTTTTTAAACCTATAATTACTTATATTATTGTGTTTTATAAGTGAAATTGACCTCGATGATTGATTACGTACTTAAAATAAGACTGTTTTTTTAATGATTTAATTACAAATGTATTGTTTTCAGATTTTTTCCTGTAGGCACTGGTAGCATAAGATGACGTTACTTGCCAAATTTCATAGTACTAGGTCAATGGGCAGTACCCTATAATTGTGATTCCCTTGAGAGTGTCGAAATATGCGTTTTTTTTTGCGGCATAAACGGCTGAATCTTTTTTTTTTACGTTGACCTAGAAGTTTGATTTTTTCACAGCTGAGGGACTGTATGCCTGAGTCTATCGTTTT